AATTAATTATGAATTGTACTTGTTTCAAAATAGATTTAAGAATTTTAAACTTTATTTTGACAATTTTTTAATAGCCATACTTTAATCCAAATTTTCATCAATGAAAATTGTTCGAAGTTAAATGAAATATAAATAAACTTGAGAATATATATATATATGTATATATATATATATATATATATATGTATATATATATATAATTTGAAATTACTTACTTGAAATTTGAATTGAGGGGAAACTTCACTTTGCATTTGAAATTTTTGAACTTAATTTGAGTTTTACTTGATAGTCTCAAATATGATTTTATCCAACTTCATAAAATTTAGTTAAAAGTGTAATTTAGTATATAAATGAAATTTAATTTTTACATTATGCAGTTCTATGCAAATTAGCTTTGACTATGGGTTAATTTAGAGCCAAATAAATTGCGTCGGTTTAGATCCTTTTTGGAATTAGGAAAAATATAAGGTGGTCTGGGAGTCTGAGAGAACAATTCGTGGCATAAAAATTCTTTTGTTAGTTATCTTTATAATAGATTAACTAAGGTGGTGAAAAAAATATGTATAAACTAGCCAAACAAAGAAAAAAGAGAAGTGAAATTTAACCCATGTGTATTAATAATGAAAATAAAAAAAAGGTTTTTTTTAGAAGAAGATATTCAACATATGTGGGTGAGCTATTTTGATAAATTTTTTAATGAATTTTCTAAAAATATAATCGACTTTAGTGATCTTAATATCATTAATAACAATAAAATATTTTATTTTAGCCGTTGCATTAGTAAGAAAGAAGTTAAAGAGGCTTTAAAGAGAACTAAGGGTGGAAAATAAGTAGAACATGATGATATTCCAATTGATGTGGAAATATTTAGGAGATTTGAGAGTTTTTTGGCTTACTCAACTATTTAATATTATTTTAAAAACTAAAAAAGATGCTTGAGGAGTGGAGGAAGAGTATTTTGGTCTCAATTTTTAAGAATAAAGGAGACGCACAAGAGTGTGCTTATTATAGAGGAATTAAGTTGATGTGTCATACTTTAAAACAATGGGAGAAGATTATTGAACATAGGTTAAGACGTGATACAAAGATTTACTGCAATCGGTTTGGATTTATGTCGGGCAGATCTAGTGTGGAAGCTATATACTTATTGAGAGGTTTGATGGAGAAGTACAAAGAGAATAAGAAGGATTGACATATGATTTTTATTGACTTAGAAAAAGCTAATGATAAGGTTTCAAGAGAAGTCTTTCAGAGAGTTTTAGAGACAAAGGTGTAGACATGACTTATATTCAAGTCGTTAAAGATATGTATACTAGAGTTGTTACTTGTGTTCACTTGTGTTCGAACAGAAGGAGGGGGAAGGAGGGTTGACCAAATACTTTCCTATTTCAGTTGGATTACATCAGGGATCGGCTTTAAGCCCATATCTTTTTGCTTTAGTTAGGGATTCGCTTACTGGAAATTTACAGACGGATGTATGTTGGTGTATGTTCTTCACTAATGATATCCTCCGTGAGGTAAGACTAGAGAATTACTTTAGGAAAAACTTGAATTATGGAGGTTTACATTGGAATCTCAAGATATTAGTTTGAGTAGAACTAAAACTGAATGCATGGAATGTAATTTTAGTACTAGTAGCTCTAGTGGCAGAGTTGTAACTATGGGTGATCAAATCATTAGAAGGTGTAACATTTTAGATATCTTGGGTTTATTGTTCAAAGGGATAGTGATATAGATGAGGATGTTATTAGTAGAATTTGAGTTGGTTGGTTGAAGTGGAGGAATGCTTCGGGCCTATTGTCTGATAGAAAATTACGGCTTAAAAAGAAAGGAAAATTTTATAAAATAGTGGTGAGACTTGCAATGCTCTATGAGACTTGCAATGCTCTATGACACTATGACACAGAATGTTGGGCTTTAAAAGAGAAGCATAAAACAAAGTTAAGTGTTGTCGAGATGAGAATGCTTTGGTGGATGATTGACTTGACACTTAGAGACAAAATATGAAATGAAAATATCTGTGATAGAGTTTGTTTAGCTCCGGTGGCGGGCAAGATTAGAGAGATTCGTCTTAGATGGTTTGGTCACATTAATCGTTGACCATCTGACGATCCAATTAGAAGAGTAGATGTTTTAAGAAAGATAAAGGTAGACCCAAAAAGAGTTGGGCACATTGTAAAAAAATGATCGTAATTTATTAGAATTAAAGGAAAATATAACACCCAATAATACTCAATGGAGAGAAAGGATTCACGTAGCTGACCTCACTTAATGGGATAAAGGCTTGTAGTTGTTGTTGTTTTGCAACGAAATAAAAATAATTTGAATTTGACTCCAAATTATATGCACATGTACACACAAAAAAAAGTATTAACACATAAATCGAGGTTTCCGAGAGTCCAAGAAAGAATGACTCGACAAAGCAGGACCACCAGAAAGCGGCCCGTGGACCCGAGAAAATTAATCGGCTCACACTAACAAGATTTCATATAAACTGATCCAATGATGCACACCCAAATTACATCCTCTACTCGAGGGTACAAGTCTACTCAACCGGCAAAAATTCTTTCCGACAAGAATTGAAGACTGACGACTATCCCACCTTTTTCGCCCGACTGATATCGTCAACTGAATTAAATTTTCAAACTTTCTTAAGAATCCAATCGATTGCCTTGACTTGAAAGGTTGACCAACTGATGTTCCTCATCCAGAAGATCAACCACTGATCAATTCACCTCTTCGATCCCACTAGCAAGTGAACAACGAGACCTAAGGTCCGCAGTGGTATAATTACCACAATAACATGTACAACATTCCTTAAAGCAGGGTTATAAATGTAATTTTCTTTCATTTATTTCCCTCTCAAATAAATTGAGAGGTCCTTTCATGTAATAAGACTTTTTGGTCTCTCCATTCTCTTATGAAGTGATTTAGACTCTTCCCCCTCGCCATGTACCAAAAACATTCAATTATATAAATTGGGTTACTAGAGTCCAAGAATATCCCATTTTGCCAAGAGTGGCAAGTCGCTTTGCTCTCTCTCTCTCTCTCTCTCTCTCTTTCTCGTGGTTCAAACAATTGAATCCTTGCAAGTGACTCCTGCACAAAGTCAGGTTAAATAGCACAAAATGCCTCCTAACCTCTCTCTCCGTCTTAAGAAAATAGGAATTTTTACATACGAATCCCCCGATTGTTGCATTTACTTATCTCTCCTATGTAAATTTCCCCTATATATATATATATATATATATATATATTATATATTAAGTAAATTAAAACATATTATAGTGTCACAATAATAATTTAATATTGATACAGAGAAGTATGTAGACAGAAGCGTCATCGAAGAGCTTAGTGATACCTTATATCACTTGTAAATATTATATTTACCCATGCATAAATATTAAATTTTAATTATTTATTAATTAGGTTTGGTCACGCACACATAAACATCGTATGGATGCCACTTACAACTCATTTTGATGTAGCCTTCACACATTCTTCTTTAAATTAAAAAAAAAAAGGTGAAAATATCATAACCATTTTTTTTAGGATAAATTTAATTTTTAGAATTTATTTGAAAATTAAGATAATGATTAAAGTGCAAAAAATAGTCTCTTCACTATTTATGTGAGGTAATTTTAGTCCCATAATTTATAGAAGTGTCAAAGGACAAATTTAATCGTATGATTTATAGAAGTGTCAAATTGGTCTCAAAACTTATTAAAATAGATTTTAGTAATTATCTATGACGACTATTTTAGCCCTAATTTAAAGAGCGGAGACTAATTATCACTTATATAAACTTTTGGATAAAAATGACCCATATAAATAATTGGGGATATGGGTGTAAAGAGCCTAGCTTGAGCGAGCCCAGGCTAGGCTTGTATTTGGTTCGCTAAAAAATGTTGTTCGTATTTGGCTAAATAATATATTGAACTCAAAAAATTTGTTCGTGCTCGGCTTATTTGCTTAGAGAGTTGAACACGAGTTGTTCGCGAACAATGAATAGTTTTGACATCCTTAATCATAGGATATTAAGAGTTTGAGCAACATTTAAATCTTCTTATTTATATTAAAACATACTTTTAAATAGAATTTAATATATTGTTTATTAAAAATTTTAATTGAATATAAATCATTGTGCAATCAATTATATACATTAAAAAAGAAAATCAGTATTTGATAGGGACCCAAATACCCATTTCTTATACGCTAGGCTCTATGATGAGAGCCCGCATCATGTGCCTAAATATTTGAAAACTAATGTCACGAATTATTCGTGTTTTACTAATTTACTTAGAGAATAAATTGAACACCAATGTCGTTTTGAGAGCCCCAATTGAGGGCTATTTTGCACTTTACTCTAAAAATAACAGAACTTCAATTATTTGTTTATATTACACAAATCATAAAATAATTTAATTTTAGAAAAAAAAAATTCTTATACAATTTTTTTTCCAACTTTTCTTTTAAAAAAAATTCTTACAGAGTACACCCACAATCACACCCACACCTTATTCTCTCTGCGGTGTAACAGGTGCAGTACGCACATGGAAAGTAACAACTTTACTTTCAGCACTTTGCCTGTCAAAAGAACCGGCTTAATTACCTTTAATTATTCAATTAGTGTAAAAAATTAAATTAAATAAGCTTTGCAATTAAGCCGCCTAATTAAAAACGTTAATAAAGCTGACAGAAATTTAAAAAATAAGTAAAAATAAAAAGAGCATTTACATACATTTGAACTACTAATTCTTATGTATTTACAACCGAAACCTCAATACTATCACTATTAATTTTTAAAGAAGGAACATACATTTTTCATGGGTATATATATAAAAAAAAATTAAAATTTGGATGTAAATAGATAAGAATGTAATGATATTTATGTAAAAATTGGAAATATAAATAAAAATTACAGAAAAGAACAAAAGCCATTACAGCCCCTGGTCTGGTTTTTGTTTTGGCATCTCTATATTATATAGAGCTCCCTAGATCCCAGCTCTCTTTTCCCAGAAATTATTGCTTCATCTCGTAATTTCATTAATGGCGTCGGTTAAACCAGGAAAGAGAGGTATAGAGGTAGAAGAAGAAGGAGAAGGAATATAAGAGGGAGGAGAGAGCTAGACAGAGTAGCAGTACACTTTCTCTGTTTTGGTTTTCCCCATTTGGATGCTTCTCGCTTCACACAAACATTCCTTTCTCATAACCCTTTCCATATGTGTTCGAGCCAACTCATCGGTCTTATGGAATTCTGAATCCTGTGAAACCCTGCTGCCATTAGTCCTTTGTGTTGTTGGATTTGGGAGCTTGGTTTTTGGGTTCGATTCAAAACCCTATAGCGGGTTTTTGGGGGGGAAGGAGGCTTGGAGGATCTCATTGATGAGATTGTAATCTGCTGCTGCGGGGGTTGTGACGGAGATGACGGTTGAGGAGAAGAGGGGAGCCATGGTGAGAGACGAAGGGCATGGAGATCAGTTCCCCATTGGGATGCGCGTGCTTGCGGTGGATGACGATCCAATCTGCCTCAAGGTGCTGGAGACTCTGCTGCTTCGATGCAAATATCACGGTCGGGATTCTTTTCATTAACTCGGATACGGGTTTTGTGTTTCTAGTAGATTAGTTGTGGTTTTATTTGCGATTTTGTTTGAAAATGTTAATTTCTGATGCGTTTTTGATACATTCGTTTTTGTGCGGGTTTCAATTTTCTTTTTTTTTTTTGTATGAAGATTTTGATTATTGGAGAGCGGAGTTTGGATCTGAGGTTTTGGTTTATGGAAATTAGTATTTGAAATCGGCTTATTGTTTGGATCTTCTGTGATTTCTAGTTACAACGACGAACCAGGCAATCAAGGCTCTGAATATGTTGAGGGAGAACAAAGACAAGTTTGATCTGGTTATCAGCGATGTTCATATGCCGGACATGGACGGATTTAAGCTTTTGGAGCTCGTGGGACTTGAAATGGATCTTCCTGTCATAAGTAGGCCTAATTTTTTGACCTTTTTTTTATCTCTTTCTTTCTTGCAGTTTCCCATAGAAGATCTTAAATCACCATTAGGTGACATCAAGCTGTTGGTTTTCAACTAGAATTTCTTATAAGTTTTTTCTCTGTTACGTCCCATCATCTAAACGGAACAACTAAAATCAGATTTACTTTTACGTCTCTGTAATTTCCGGAATAAGTTACTGATCTTGGAAAAAAAAAACTTGGAAATGCAGTGTTATCCGCTAATGGTGAAACCAGTGCCGTCATGAACGGGATAACTCATGGGGCCTGCGACTATCTTCTCAAACCGGTTCGAATTGAAGAGCTTAGAAATATTTGGCAGCACGTTGTGAGGAGGAGAAAGTTTGATCACAAGGAACGTCAAAGCTTTGATAACGGAGACGACCAGGATAAACCTCAATCTGCAAATTCTGAAGGCACGCAGGCTGTTGGTGAAAATGGACCATTGGATCTTAGTGGAAAAGTTAATAGGAAGAGGAAGGACCAGAATGATGAAGATGAAGACTACTGTGAGGATAATACTCATGACAGTGAGGATCCATCGAGCCAGAAAAAGCCGAGGGTTGTTTGGTCTGTTGAGCTTCACCGCAAATTTGTTGCTGCAGTAAACCAACTGGGAATTGATAGTATGTTCTTCATGTTGTTTACTATTATTAGAAAGCTATCATTTTTTTATTCTTTAAGATGTCAAAGTCATTTTTTTTTATCAAATTTAAATTATATTGCTCATGTGGTTCATTTTTAACTTGCTTGCTTGCTGCAGAGGCTGTTCCTAAGAGGATACTTGATCTCATGAATGTTGACAAGCTTACGAGAGAAAATGTAGCGAGCCATTTGCAGGCATGTTCTTAACAATTTGCCAAGCTTATGTTCCTAGAGTTGTGATATCGATAAATTTTTAAGGGGCATTTACGTACATGACACGTAATTCTTATGTATTTACACCTCCAACATCTAAACATTGATATTAATCTACATAAAATTCTAATCTTTAATATCACATAAAAAATCCCACTACTCCTAAGTTTTCAAAAGTGAAGTATGCATTTTCATGCGTTCATAACACCAAAGTGTTATAAATGTAAATGTCAAACTTTAGGTGTTAGATATGTAATACATAACAATTGTTTGGTATGTAGGTAAATTTCCCAACCTTTAAATAATACATTGCTTGAAAACTTTTAGCAATGATTTTGTGCTAGGATTATCATCACCGCCACCAAAATTACCATCACCATGAATAGCTTTATCCTAAACTAATGGGGCTTTCTTCATAATTTTTTCTTTGACATGTATTTTGCTAAGTGCTAATATTTGATTGACTCTAGTCAAGTAAATCATTTTATGCCTATTTTCACTGGGTTGCTTCCTTGTTTCAGATGATATATTCTCTTTTATTTCTAACTGATGTTTCTCTTTGCAGAAGTATAGACTCTACCTTAAAAGACTTAGTGCAGTGGCCAGCCAACAAGCTAGCATGGCTGCTGTTTTAGGTGGAAGAGATGCCTCTTACCTCCACATGGCCTCTTTTAATGGTTTTGGAACTTTTCATGGTCTGTCATCTTCAGCGCCACTCCAAGGCTTTGCACCATTCCAACCAAATGGAATTTCAAGCAGACCAAACCCAAATTTGTTGGGACTTCCAGGACTTGCTCCTGGAACTGTTCAAATTCGTTCTCAAAATACTACAAATAATCCCATGAATGATCTCTCTAAGTTTCAGCACCTTCCTGTTCCTTCGAATCAACACGAGAACTTACTTCAGGGCATCCCCACATCTTTGGAACTCGACCAACTCCAACAAAAACAAAAGCGGATACAGGAAGCAAATCACCGTTCGCCAGGCGTCTTCTCCGGCACATCAAACAATAATTTCATCAGTGCTGCAAACAGTTCTTTGTTATTACCCTCCATTGCGATACCATCCATTGGAGCAGATCGTCTTGAGATGAGCAGCGGATGCAATGAATCGTGGCAAAATGCTCCTTCTTTGAGTGGATACAATGCCAACACTTTGTCCATGGGAGGCCCTTATGGTAATGACTGTGTGGCTTCAAACAACATGGGTGGAAATCTAGCTTCGACAGTTCCTCCGTTCAATGGAAACCCGATGAATATTTCCTCTAACAACTTACTCGTGACGGCCGGGAATGCGTTGCTTATGCCTTCAGGAATCGAAGTAGACCCCAAGTTCTTGAGTTTCCGATGTTCTGCAAACCCTAAGCAAAGATCGGAGGATTCAGTACAACACAATGAGATTACATTGAATTCTTCCTTGACCTCCACTTTGCCGAATCAGACTCTTCTCAACACTGTTGCTGATACCCAGAGCTTGCAAGGTCGAATTTATAACAAAAAGGTGGATTTAGGCATGATGAACCAGCCAAGTTTTGATTCATCTTTGACATCGCAGCATGCCAAGATGAATAAAACGAATATTGAAAGCCGGCTTTTTTTTAATGAGGAAAATCTGTTGGGGTCTTCTAAGATGCAGGGTGGGTTTGCATCTAGTAGTTGCAACTTTGATGAGCTAATGAATGCAATGATCAAACCGGTGAGGTTCCATTTCTCAGCCTCTTTAACTTTGTATTGAGCGTTTTTTTTTTCTTTTCATCTATATTTGGTTATTACAATTTTTTTTTTTTGGTAAAGTGTCAAAGTAGTCATGTGATTATTTACATGTAGTCTCGGAGTTTATTGAAGTGTCAAATTAATCACCACACGCTTTTGATATGGGTTGAAATAGTCATTAAGGAGGATTAATTTAGCGCCCTTTAAAACAATTTAGGTATTAAATTTGCGCCTTTATAGAGTTGGACTAAAATGACTCTTTGCAAAGAGTTAGGGGACCATTTTTATACTATTCTAGATTTCTTTTATTCAGTATATGTAGGGGAAGAATAATAGCTTTCGCTCTTTTAGTTAACTATTGCTCTCACCATTTCACCTTTCCATTATGCTTTTCACTTTACCTGAAGGAACTGTATCTTAAGATTGCCATCTATAGTTTACTGCTCTTTTCTATCCGAGCATATTTTCTTAATTTGGGCCTCTTGCAAAATGTACTTCATCACCAGCCTGAGAGTTAAACGATTCTTTGTTTCATATACCATTTTCATTCACTTCCATTTGACGAATATTTTAGCAGAATTTTGAATCCAATTTTCTACATATTTGTTATGTTTCATGGTGCTGCCTCTGGTTTATATAATAATATATATTATTTATTTTTCCTCAATGGCTAGTTGCAACTTCATCGTTCAGCCATTCTGCAGTCTTCTTCATTTCTATATGCCACCACTGAATCTATAGTTCCAGGCTCATTATTGTAAACAAACATCACTTCATATCATGTCAAAAAAATTGTCTTTAAGCCAAGAGGCCGAAATTTAGCATTTCTAGCAAGATTGTAAGCACTGTTGTTAGGTAGATGCGGTGAAAACATTATCTGGAAGCCTATTTAGTGGTGACATGTTTCTTGGTGTTAAAACGTTCTATATGAATTCTGATATGAAATTTATCATATTTTGTCCAGTAAATCTTTGTAAACATTAATTAAATTAGAATTCCGCCACCAAACAAAGATAATTTTTGAAGATTTATAAAAATGAACAATCATATTGGGTATATGGCTAACGATAATTGAGATGATGTTGTATTGCCTATATTATATATCCAAGATAACATGTTAATAGTTAGTTTTTGTCAATATTAAACTTTTTTTAACCCTTTTTTTGATTTGTTAAAACAAAAGTGCACTGCTAATGTACATCTGTGTCACACTCAATTGGTTAAAAAGGTTCTGTTTTTTACTTTTTGTGTATTTAACTAAAAGTAGACATTTTTTTCTATGAAATAAATAATTTAGCGCAATCTTCAAATTTAGCTTCATTTCATTGTCTTCTTTTCCCATAAAATGGAAACATGATATTAAGTAGGAAACTACTAATCTATATTGTATACTTACCATAAGCTAGCAAAAAAACTAGTATGTTTATCCAATCAACGTTCAAGGTAGTTTTTCTTTTGACTTTCAATGTTTAGTTCTTGTGTTTAAAATTACAATTAATAAATTGAAGAAGTCGAATAAATTTTCTCAAGCAAGTTTTGGCAAGCTACAAATTTAATCGTAATTCAATCTGCAAATAAAGTAAATTCTGCTGCAATGTAAAAATGTTTGATTCCTGCAAATAAATTGTTGACCAAATCGCTTAAAATATAAAATAAAACATTTTGTAAAAGTATGGTTGTCTTGCTTTGATCTTACTAATAAAGTTAAGATGATGGAATTTGCTCAATGAGGGGAAAAAAAGGAGCAAAAAACTGGTCATAATTTATTAGAATGTTCTGTCATCCTTTCTGTATGGCGCTGCAATTTCATTTTTATTGGGGATCTTGATGCAAAAAATATTCTATCAGTACCAAACATCTCCTCTTAGTAGTTGGGTTCATTTGAATCCTTCTTGATAGAAAAGGAGTTTTAAAATATATCAGATTCTATAATTTAACTAGTTGTATTTAGAAATCAACATGAATTTTGAAATCCACATATCCTTCAAAGGTTAAATTGTATAAATATCATTTTGAACCTTTGACTTTTGTTTTATCATTCCCATGCAATGGGAAAATTTAAAGTTTGGCTGCATGATTTTCACTTGTTGATCAATCACCTCTTTGCACCTTTTCCTTAATCTTTCAGTTCATGCAATGTTTCTATAGTTTATGGAGAAATCTTGAAGGAAGATTTTTATGACATACCACTTAATTCCCATTTATTTACATATCTAAAACCTAAAATTCAATTTGTACATATACTCTATCTTAACTATGCATGAAAAGATATATTTCACTTTTTCAGAACTATATCGTGGCATTTTTGACGTGATATGGCAAATTTAGGTAATATAAATGTAAAAAAAAAAGCGAAGTTTAGGTGCTAATATATAAATACATAGGAATTAAGTGGTATGTATGTAAATGACCCAATCACGAAATACTTTTCAACATTAAAATTTAAAATATATTTATTGTATTGATGATTTTTTTTTTCTTACAGGAGAGAGATGACATCATATTTGTGGATGGAGAAATAGGCTCTGATCTCTTTCCTTTGAGCACTTGCATGTGAAGGCCTCTCTTTTCCAGGTGATGGAATTGAAGTATAATTTCTCAACTTGAGATGTTTCCTTCATCAAAACTTTGATGATTTAATGATCTTATCTTCATATTCTTCTTTGATGTGTATAGTCTTTAGAAAATAGCTGCTAAAACTGTTCCAAGTTTTTTTCTTCTTTAATGTCATTATTAATTAGAATTTTGTATTTGGTTAGCTTTTATCCCTAATCTGATTATTGCAAGCTTCAGATTAGGCTGTGCTGTTCTCTGAATTAGTTTGCATAGAACTATTGAATCTCATAATGAAGAAAGCTTTATGTTCATATAAGCTTCTTTCTTTTCTTTCCTTTTTTTTTTTGGGGGAAGATTTACATATATACCATTTAATTCTTATGAATTTACATATCCACACCTGAACTTAAATTTTTAAAGACTTCAGGTCTAGATATGTAAATTCATAAGAATTAAAGGCTAAAGCGAACTCAGTACTTACATATTAGAAAGGACAATAAAGTGATTTTTGTTTATTTATATATTTCATATATTTTGAATATAGAAATAAATTATTATTTATTTAATATCTGAGATAATCCTCAGAGAGATTCCACTCTGTGTCTATCCAGATTAGTGCTTTCTGGGTGCAGGGTAAAGGCGAATACCCTCAAAAAAAGGCTGACATGACTCTCTTGGCTTAATTCTGCGCGTATTATTCCGGCAATATATACGCAAATTATTACAAATACTTGTGTGGTGAGAAAGTCTGTTCCTTTGGACTCACATGGGAAAGAAATGAACGGACAGTAATAGTTTGACTTTGACTTAGTTTAATTTGTCTCTCTTTGTTTTTTTAGAATGAACTAAAGTTAATTATTATTGTAATAAATTTCTTTTTGTATGTTAGTTTGAGATTTAATAAAATACTAATTTAATGATATATTTCTTACAACTTATATTCTATAGTATTATATCAATTTCTGCATGCCAAATGCTAGTTGTATTAGTAGACGTAAGAGTATAATGAAATACTACTAAATTTTAAATTAATTATCTATTATATGATATTATGCGGGCTTCATTCTCGCCAATATTGATGTTGGTACACAGAGTTAAATGGCATCGAATGTTCGTGTTGGTTGGCGACAATCAAGAGACAACAATTGAGGGACCGCCGCTAGAGTTGCAATTGTGATTGGTCATTTTGATTATCATCATTGATGATTGTCAAGTAGATCTTTAAAAGTTTTTAATTTTCTAAATTGTCAAGGTTTAGAATCTTTTCATATGGTTGATAATTTTGTTATTTTAAGTAATATTTATGGTTTGTTCATATGGCAAACTATGCTGATTCTCTTGATTACAGATTATCCTTCAGGTATTTATGTACCTTTATTTGATTATGAATGTGGAGACCGTATTCAAAAGTCGTTTGATCTATTAAAAATGTTATAAAATTTTTATATATGTTTTGAGCTCTTGATTTAAGTTTATTTGAATTTATGTCAAGATAATATGGTGTTATTAGATTTATCTCATATGATTGTTCACTTTAATTATAAATTTGCTAAAAATGAAGTTTAAATGGTCCTAAAATATGTCCTAAATGTTTTTTTTCAGTGCTTGTGTCAATATCTATGCTTAATTGAGATATTTTTTACTACAATGTTAAGCATGATGTTAACTAACCTAATTAGAAGTTTATTCAAACATATGACCACTTATGCTGCTAATTAGCCTTTAATTTAAACATATTATTATAATCACGAGATATATATATATATATATATATATATATCTGTGTGTGTGTGTGTGTGTATAATTAGTTTATTTGAGGTATTTAATATATTAGACCATGTTGTCCATGAAAATTGTTAGAACTTAAATGACAATATGGCTAAGGAGTGAGAGGAAGAGAGAGAGAGAAAAAAAAAATCAAATTCCAGTTGAAAATTTCAATAAAAAAGAGGCAAAATCCATCAAAAATATAATTTTTGATGGATTTAAAATGAAAAAAATATGCCAGATAAAATCATATTTGTCAAAGGCCAAAAAATTTGCTAGAAGATGTTTTTTTATAAGCTTTTGAAAGAATATTCATTGGTAAACTGAAAGTCCAAAAAAAAAAAATTTTTGCAATGCATGCCAATGTCACAAAAAATGGCTAAGTTCACCACCATCATTTCTAATTAATTTTTCACACAAAAATTATCACCTAGGAAAAGATTTATCAGATTTATTAGTTTATTAACGACATAAATTTTTGCATATCCAAATATGCTTGTTTTATTATCCACAACATATAAATTATTTATATTATCTAATAAGGAGCGAGTATGATGCAACTTGAAGATTATGAGTTGAGCATCATTCTGTTGATTGAATTATTTGACCATTCTTGTGAATTAGTCGGCTCTGAACAATAAGCTAAAGAAGAATGACTCATTTAAATAACATGAAGAGGATATGATGTTTTGTGCCCTCCTCATTTAAATAAATAGGAGGGTCATTTTCTTAGAAAAAACTAATCAACAATTCTAATTATTGTTCAATATTGTGCAATTCTCTCTCTATTTCTCTCTTCTCATCTTATGCTCTATTCTTGGGGTGTGATTCATAAACAAATCAGGATCCAACATCCTAAAAGGTGATGTGAGCATGGATCATATCAATAATAAGAAGAGGAGTAGCACTAATATAAATCTAATGACAATTGATAGTAATTGCTATCTTGAGCTGCATAATAATTGAGCATATTTTGTCATGTACAAACAAATCAATGCATTAAGTATGTATTGTTCCACAATGTCAACACATTAATGGACAAACACTTTGATGTTAGAATCCCTAATTATTTAGAAACTTCCATCAGCTTATGCAACCTCCTTTGTGATTTTCTTATATATTTAGTGTGCTCTAAAATTTGGTGAAATACTTAATGTGCCTCTTTTAACTAGATTGAATCATAATGTTTAGTATGCTTGCAGAATATCTAACATAAACAAAATGCCCCTAAAAATGAAACTTCTCTATGGACTGAAAAATTAGCTTTAAGTGAGCTTGTTGCGACATCATTATTGCTAGCATTATTTAGGGTGATAGTTGATTCCTCGTCTTAAAAATTTCAAACTAATAATTAATCACGTATAATATCATAAATATATGTAAAATTGTGAGTTGGTTCCAACTCAATAAAATTTATGACACTTTTTTACAACTGATATGACCGAATAATATAATAAATAGCTAAGCACATATATCTCACTATCTAATTAGAAACCTATAAATTAGAAAGTTATGAGGCCTTATGTACATCCTTAAGATATATTTTCAATTTATCTTTATCAAACTCATACATATTCATAAAATCATTTCTAAATTTGTATCTAGAAACTCTCTCATAATTTTGATTCAAGATTTTCAATAATACATTAAACAACACATACTCAATAATCATGAATGAGTATTCATGAATAATAATTATCTTAGCAATTATTTCTCTAATTTAACGTTAATTGGAATTATTTGGATCAAGAAATATAAGTACCTCAAATTTTGCATCAACACCAAATGACATAAATTTAATAATTTATAACTTTTATTAGATGATAAATTATTTGTTCACTCTAAGCTTTATTTTTTTCTTACATTCTTTCACATATCTAAAGAGTTGTAACATAGTGTTTATCAATAAGCTATTAAAAATTAAATCTTTAATTTTAACCAGGCATGAAGACATATTATGAAAAGAAGCGCAACAACGAAGAAGTCCAGGTTACTAAGATGGTTATATAAAGACAACAAATCTAAGTGGGATAAGCAAATGTAATAAATTATCTTTCTTATAAAGGTCTCAGTATGAATGCATGATAATTGATGGCAAAAGTAGCAAATCCTAAATGTTAATTCTCATAAAAATATAGTGTGAATGCATGTTATCAACATAAATTATATTTCATATATGAAATACAATATAATAGAATGTGTAGAAAAAATAAATTCATAGCTAAACAAGTATGTGCTTGCTTAGACATACATTTCCTCAAAACTTGATAAAAATTGACTGAAAAAAGATAAAAAATAGAACTCCTAATCTTATCACTTTAACATGTACTTAAATAATCATCCAGTGTAAAACAACCTCCTCTCATAATTACATCTCTGAAATTATTCGAACAAATAATTAGTAAATGCAAAATTTAAGTTATGGAGGTCAAGCTTTTTTGTGTATGATATCCTTATGGATGATAAGGCTAGAGAAGGAGTTCTGGGAGAAATTGAATTATGAAGGTAAACTTTGGCATTTAAAGTCATTATCTTAAGTAAATTTAAAACTTAATGTATGAAATTTGATTTTAGTAGTAGTGGATCCAGTGGCACTGTTGTAATAATGGGTGATCAAATTATTAAATGGAGTGAACATTTTAGATATCTCCGGTCTATTATTCAAAATGATGATTATATAGATGTGGATGTTATTAATAGAATTCAAGTTGGATGGTTGAAGTTGAGGAATGCTCCTATTGTGTGATAGAAAAGTATTGCTTAGATTTAAAGAGAAATTTTATAAGATGACAATGAGACATGTAATGTTATATGGTTCAAAATGTTGGCCTGTAAAAAAGAAGCATAAAACAAAGTTAAGTATTGTTGAAATGACTGATGAGCATGCTTAGGTGGATTAGTGTCTTTAGAGTTAGAGACCACATGTGAAATAATTATATCCGTGAAAGGTGTCTAGATGGTTTGGTGACATTAAACGTCGACCATTTGATGATTGTTTTAGGAGACTAGATGGTTCAAATTTGACTTTTGGTAAGAAAGAGAAATACTTAAAAAGAATTGGGTATGTTGTATAAAAAATGATCTTAATCTATGAGAATTAAATGAGAATATGACACAATGGAGAAAAAAATATTCATGTAGCTGACCCCACTTAGTGGGATAAAAGTTTTGTTGTCATTGAAATTATAACAAAACATATTAAAAAAAAACAAAAAGAAAAAGAAATATCTCATTAAAATTGTATGATTATCATATTATGCCAAAGCTAAAAGCCAAAACTCAATAACATAACTCTGAAGCTCAATATAACTCCTGAGATAATAAAAATATATCATGTAAAAATTGAGAGCTAAAGCTCAATAATCTGCATATGCATTAAATATATAATTTTAGCTGAGCTCAATATAAATCCTAAGATAATAAGAACATTGAATCATCCCACATATATTATATTAAAAATATAACTCTGGTGATGCTAGATGTTAATCATAAGATAATAGAAACATCTGATCAATCAAAAGCCGAGATCCAAAGTTCAATAACCCGTAGATAAAAATAGTTTAACATAACAATGGAGTTCAATACACCATTTAAAACAATAGGAACATCAAAATTTCATATCAAGCTAAAGTCAAAAACCAAAATTCGATAACCAACAATATTGTCATAAAACACATACCTACACAAGGAATCTTACATTTTTTCCATCCAATACAATGTCTAATTCTGTGAATAGAATTAAACCACTTAGTAAACAATATATTACATAAATATGTCACAAAGAATCTCAAGTAATTATAGAAATACGAGCCAAAAAATTTATGTTGCAAAAATGTGATAAAGGTCTTCTATCCCATGAAACAAAATTGGTAAATCTAAGGACTCATTTGGGATTAATTTAATTTTTTTCTTTTTCTTTATTATTTGTTATTTTGTTTTGTTTATATATATTTTTTAATTAAAAATGTTTGGTAGTGATAGTTATTTTTAACGACGCCAAAACATCTTTTGGTTGTGTTCATTATTTTTTAATATTTTTAAAAATAAGGTCGATTATTTTTAATAATTATTGAATCCCAATATGTCCTTCAGATCATGACCAAGGGATAGAGCGCTGACCAGATGAGAGGAACACGAGAATGTAGGAGAAATAAAATTTAATTCGTAACTATCACTAATTCTTTGAGAATAGATACAATAGTATTTTTTAATAGAAATGACCCTCATATTTATAGGTCATATAAGGGGTTTCATAAATTACATAATTGTCCCACATTTAATGACAACATTATAATCATTTATGAGTCATTATACTTTTACGTATTTGTAATCGAATTAAATATATTTTGACATTGTAACCACTGTTTGTGGTGTTCCAAATTTATAATTGCTCTTGGCACCATTTCATATTTTTAATCACTTGACTTGCTCATTTGGTATTTGTTCGGCCGGCTAAAAGTCATTCGACCGATTGATTGATCTTTGGTCGCCTTTTCTGAGGGGATCTATTGTGAACACATTGTCATATGAAAGGTTTATTCCATCGGACAAAGTGTTGATTTTCGTAATATGATAGACAACCTATCTTTGGTCGATGAGTCCATATGGTAATATTGGAATGCCCTTATGTCAGTTAAGTTGTTATTAGTAAACGTGTGTGACACTCATTGGGTCGGTCAGACTAATGTTTGATCGGGATAATTTTTGGTCGACTGGAATGATGTTGGATTTCTCTATCTTTACTGCTTTCTTCGTGTGATCTGTTGGTCTTGAGATTCGTGCAGCCACATTTTTGATGTACATAATTAGTTCTACGATCTGATCCGCTATGTAATCTAGGAGCTCTTGAATCTGTTGTTGCACGAATTCTCTAACGGACTCCATATTGGAGGGCTTCTCGGTGTGTTCCTTTTTCGTGGGACGCTCCTCTTATTATTAAAGGCTTAACTCCATATTCAATGCATTTTTTAGGTTGTTGGATCCCAAAATATTCTTCGGGTAACTCCCAAATGATATAACATTGGTCGGATGAGAGAAATAAGATAAAATAGGAGAAAGAAAGAATATGTCACAAATAACATTAATTTTTTGGGAATATATCCAGTCATCCTTTCTGTAGAAATACCCCTCCTATTTACAAGTCATTTATGAGTCAATATATGTAACTGAATCAACATATTTGGTATGTTGATAAGTAAATCTTAAAAAATTGTTTACAACTTTTGTAAGATTTAACAAGATTTAGATAATTAAAAGCCTTAAAATATGTCTCTAACAAAAACATATATCTCGCAGATCCAAAGCATGCTCTCAAAAACTATGAGTTAAAAGCTCAGTATCACATATTAACGTTATGATTATTGAGGCTATTTAATTTTAATTTATAAAAATATTAATCAATAATTAAATATTTATGGAACTAGTTAATCATTAAATAATAAATTTATTTAATTAATTATATTAAATAATAATTTAACATTCATTAATGAAAATAAAAGTAGTTATTTATTCAACTAATTAATAACTATTAAAATTTTATTAAAATATTTTAATTCAATATGTAATTTATTATTATTATTTAATAATCAAATAGTAACATATAGGTTTATGTAATCATATTAAATTATTGATTAATTATTAGTTATTATTAAATCAATTTAGCTTAAAAAAATTAAATTAAAGCCGAAACCCTTGCTAACGTACTGCCCCTCCATCGGTTTCGCCCAGCTCTTAGGCTGCGTGGTTTGTATGTAAGCCGCTGAATGACAACAAACAGAATTAAGTTAATATGATTTAGTAAACCCTGTAAATCAGATTTTAGTAAAATCTTGAAAGGGTTAAATCCCAAAAATATTTTGAAAATGGATTTAATAAAACTTATTAGATCACATGAAACGATATGACAATTTCTGTAAAGATTTAAAAATCTATTATGATTGCTAGATTGTGATAGTAAATCATAATAAGATTAGTGAATCATGTAAATTTGAGTTCTAAAGACATTCCAAAATTGAGAAACTAGCTTTTTAAATTCAATTAATATTTAATTTCAAAATATAATTATTAATAATTATATATCTTTTTATTAAATAGAAGTTTAATATTTATAGATGAATAACCAATTACTTATTACTTATATTTATTAATAATTACTTATAAAATTAGTGAATAAATAAATATATTATATTTATTTTAATAACTTTATAATAAAATAATAAATCAATTTATTTAAGCATAATTAATCAGAAAATATTTTAATTAATTATTAATTATTAATAAAATTAATTAATAAAATTAACTTAAATAAAATTAAATTAAGAAAAATTAAGTTAAATAAAATGAATGGAAGCCTCGCCTACTTTTCTCCTCTCTCCCCGAAGCCCTCGCCTACACTGCTCCTCTTCGCCTCACTGCTCCTCTCCCGGAAACCCTCGCATGTGCCTTCCCCACTCTGTGGTTTCGTCCAAAACCCTCGCCTTCCTCACCGAACCCTCGAGATACAGTCGCAATTGGAGCTAGCTGAGAACGCGAAGACGGGATCGCGTCTTACAGAGACCCGAAACTCCCATTTTTTTTCCCTCCTTCTGCTCCTCTTCTACCCGAAGCCATCCAGGAAGGTAACTTCACGTCTTCTTTTTCACGCGAAGAGTTAGTCCCGGATTTTCTAAATCCACCGATTCATGGGATTTAAGGCCGAAATCCGTGAAATCCTGATTTATCAAATCCGAGGCTTTATGTTGTCCAAAATGACCGTCTGGCAAGATTTAGGTTAAATCCAGCTTAAATCCTGCTCTAACTCCGTTACCAGACTGGCCCTTCAGGCTTCGTAAATTCTTCTTCCTCTCGGACCTCGCTATCATGACTTCGGCTTCGGTTCCTACTGTTATGGTGGAGGGCAACAATTTCGAGGACGACCAGCTCGCTGCAATGACAACTGATGACATTACTAGGGCCTCTCGCCTTCTTGACAACGAGATCCGAGTTCTCAAGGTGCGTGCAAGAGCAAGAACGCTAGATCAGAGCCTCCTCCTCGCAATCCTATACTTTTTTTTCCGCTCCCGAATTCCCCCAATTTTATTGTTCCCAATGTTGACTTCGTTTCGATTTTTGTAGGAGGAGCTGCAGAGGACAAACCTAGAGCTGGAATCATTCAAAGAGAAAATAAAGGAGAATCAGGAGAAGATTAAGCTCAACAAGCAGTTGCCCTACCTTGTAGGGAACATTGTTGAGGTTGTTTTCCCTTTCTTAGACTGCGCTGCATCTGTATTTCATCTCTTACTATTGTTTTCTAGTTCCTTCTGTTGTGGTATCTTGTATTGGTTGATGTCTTAGTTTGGCTGAGTGCACTTGTAGTTGATTATAATTTTTTTATTTTTGGAATTGAGGAATATCCAAGAATTTTGTTGACCTGAAATTGGAAAATTATTATTGCTTTGTTACCTTCTTGTTTGATTGGCTATTATAGGCGCTGCCAATGGGTTTAAGTTAGATCTCATCTTCCTAGTGGAGTTTGAGAGTACAATTGAGTTGGGAAATCATATCATTATTCCTTCTCTTTTCTCTTTACCACTTCTGTACTGCAGGTCTTGTACTTCCAGCAAATTAAATTTTTAATGCATATCTAAGGGCGAGTTTTGTTTTGGGTCTCAATAATAACTTTTGGCTTTAATATGTTGCACTTTTGGTTTGGAGACTCCTCAGTTGGAAAATTTTCCAATTTATTATTCTTAAAATTCAGTCAGTTCTCTATTTTTCTAAAACTTTGATTTGTTATCTCTGTTTGTCATCACAAATACAATATGGATATCCAAAGAAAATTTTCCATCTTCATATGCATTATTTCAATCATGCATTGTGAAACCATTTAAGTGGAATTGAGCTGAACTCTTAAACAACGAGCCAACTTTTTAATGTAACAGTTGGAATTTCATTAGAAAGTCGAAAGCTTACCCTGCCCACACGAGAGCAATCATGGCCACCCAGGAACTTACATAAATGGGACAAAATTATAAGGACCTTAGGCTAAAGTGAACAATATCTTGATGGTTGAGAGATCAGGTAGTATAAATGTTATTAGAGAAATAAACCAGTTTGAGAATATGAACTAAGTGTGATATAGGATAAAGTTATGTATCATGGGGGTCACCTCTTGCCCCTTGTCGGGACAAAGAAAAGGGGATAAAACTGTGCGGCCATTATGACAAAATTGATGTTTCTTGATTGTTGAGAGATCAATTTGTTTCATGCATAGCCTAATCTTATCATATTTGATAAATATGTTAAAACCAAGAGTAATTATAGATAGGAGAGCATATATTTTTAGACTTTGATTTGTCAGTTGCATCTTTCTTTGGTTCACTACTTTTACCTTTGTATACTTCTACTGATTTCTAAGTTTTATGTGGCTTATTTTAGATTTTGGAGATGAATCCAGAAGAGGCTGAGGAAGATGGCGCAAATGTTGATTTAGACTCCCAAAGAAAGGGGAAATGTGTTGTTTTGAAAACATCTACTCGTCAAGTAAGATATAATATTTTGTTCTTCTGAGTTTATCAAATTTTTTCCCCTTTTGTTTTTTTGGTTGCAACAAATTTCTTGCTACAACACTAAACTTTTGCAAATCAAGAGTAGCACTCAATTGATATGGTCACATCTAATCAAATTAAGCACCTGGAGTTGTGTTTTAGTGACATATTTGGCCATAAGTTGAAAAATTGGAGAATGACATTTGCAGATAAGTAGAGTTAAAAAAATTTCTTTGGTTTAGTTTTAGTGCTTTGAAAAATGGAAATGACCTAATCATTGTGCAGTTGTTCTTATAGTAAAGCATGAAGACTATATTCACATTTTTGCTTTATGTGTCCATGGCTTGCTATATGTGCCCGCTAAATTAAAATTTGAAGTAATGTTTATTGAGGCAATAAGCTTCTTCAGTATTTGCAAGGTTCACTTTTTTCTCTCTTGTCCTTGGATCTTATTTTTTGCAAGAATTCAATTTTTGATTCTGATTACTTTATTACTTGCATTTCAGTTGTTAAATTTTGTTATTGCATTGATTGTTTTCCTTTCAGCAACAAACTGTGGTAGTTTAATTTGTTTTTTTACTTATCTTCAACTGCAGACTATCTTTCTTCCAGTTGTTGGCCTGGTAGATCCTGATAAGCTGAAACCAGGTGATCTTGTTGGCGTTAACAAAGACAGCTACCTGATATTGGATACTCTTCCATCTGAGTATGACTCACGAGTAAAAGCAATGGAGGTCGATGAAAAACCAACTGAAGATTATAGTGACATTGGAGGGCTTGAGAAGCAGGTGATTCTTTGTTGCTTGCTTAGCTTTGTGGCCCTTCTAAAATGTGGTTTTTGCTCTCTTACACACCCATTAGGTCTAAAATTTATCAAGCAAGCCGATTGGTCATATATGAAATGATTTCTCATCCATGTAGGATGTGGCTCTAACAAATTTTATCCCATGATATGGAACATCTTCTTCTTATATGCTGTTATTACTTCCTTGTATCACTAAATAGTAAAATTTCCCTATTGTTAGTCATCATACTGATTTATCAAGTTCTGTAGATTCAAGAACTTGTTGAAGCCATAGTGTTGCCGATGACACACAAGGATAGGTTTGAGAAGTTAGGCATTCGACCACCTAAAGGAGTTCTATTATATGGACCACCTGGCACTGGAAAAACATTGATGGCTCGTGCTTGTGCTGCACAAACAAATGCAACTTTTCTGAAGCTGGCAGGCCCACAGCTTGTTCAGGTTAGCACATTTCATAAAAAATCTCTAGTTATTTATTAAAATGGTATGTTTCACCACAATAAATATTTGTTTTAGGAAGTCATATTTTTTTCATTAGAGAGTTGTGGTAGAAGGAGCCCTTAAGTTGCTAAGATACTTGTGTCTCAATGAGTCAGTAATGCTCCATTTTGAAATATTGAGAATGTTTACCTTTCCTGCTGGGTCATTTACAGGCACGGAACACAACACAATGACTACTTCTAAACTTGGCCAGGGATAATTATCCTTCTAATTTATTTTTAATGGAATCATTAGTTTTTATTTTATCTTCCTTTTAATGATTTTGCAGAAGGTCATTGCACCTAGCATGTTGATTTTAATCTTATTTCTAGTTATGTCTGATGTCAACTTTGGTGTTTCGTAAAATTCAAAGTATCTGCTATAGGAAAAGTTTGTTTATTTTTGTTTTGGCTTGATGTTATAAATGAATTAAAAGTTAAATCAAGCATGCACCTATTTAGTTCTGGTTACTCTTAGTGCTCTCCTATTTAGAGTTTCTGCTTTTAATTTTGATTGCTTCTATCATGTGGTAATTATGGAGCAAAGGTTGCCTGATATATGATAATCATGTAGCACATAATGCTTAATTATTGCATATTTTGTCTAAGGCTAGGAATTTAGAGAATTTGTGTAGCTTTGTTTAATTTTCCTCTCTTCCATTTTGCTTAGAGCTTCTGTTGATTTATTGGTAATATTCGTGCATTTTGTCATATCTTTACACTTTTCTCTGTCACAGGCTATCCAAAAGTTTGGCTTCATTTTTTACAGTATTGATTTTTTTTATCACTTCTGTTTTTGTTTTCACATTGATGTAGATGGATTTTTTTCTTGTCAAATATTGTAATTTGGATTTAAATGAATTTGTGTACTTGATGATATTGCAGATGTTCATTGGTGATGGTGCGAAACTTGTACGTGATGCTTTTCAGCTTGCAAAAGAAAAATCTCCTTGTATCATTTTCATAGATGAAATTGATGCAATAGGAACCAAACGTTTTGATAGGTATGACAAGTTACCCTCTCGTATTTATTTTGTGGGTGCATCTCCATAAAAAAATGTTGAACAATCTTCCAAATATATTCAAATTTTTGAAATACCTGGTTCCCTTAAGCTAGTTTCCCTTTTAAATAAAAAATAAAGTTTTAACTTCAGTCGAATTCTAGTTTTCTTCAATACAAGATGTGGTTTGTCTTTGATACTTTTAGTTTTGTAGGTTTTTTTTTATGTTCGACTTTCTCCTTTATTGTCTAGTATAATTTGGAGTGACTTCAATTTGATTCTTAATGTTGGTAACAAAAAATATTCTTTCAGTGAATTTGATACTTGTACATTACCTTCTTTTTATGGCCACGTGTCTTTGAAAATTGAGCTTCCCGTGGAACTTGTAGCTGTTTTTGAAACTTGAAAGTTTAACTACTTGGGTGATTTTTTGTGGGTTTCTTCTTTCATCAAATCCAAATTAGATTTAAAATTTTTCGCTGTGTAACATTTTAATTGGATACATTGATAAAATAACATCGTTTATACAATTTTTAAATCCTCAATTTAGAGGGAGGGAACCTTAGGAGTAGTCGTTAAGTTGCTTTAATATGGAGTTCTTATGTTCATTTTTTGAAACAACCTATCTACAAACTTAGGGGAACGCTTTTTACCTCAACTTTCCTGAGAGTTTAGTTTTAGTCCCACATCATTCAATTGAGAAACATGCTGGTGTAGAAATACCATGTGAATGACTCTCGCACACAGGTTCAAGAATTGGTTAACTCCCATGGTGCCACCATATGGTTGAGTGAGCTTTTGTTTTATGATTAAAAGGGTATTTTCCTTTGAAAGGAAGTGTTGGTTGATTCAATGAGTATTCAGATGCGGGAGATTGTTAAAACATATAAGAGTTTGGATTAATCTAATATCAGTTAATTGAAAAAAAATATGGGGCGTAAAAATATTAAATGATTGGTCTTCATCGATAGGATTAGGCACTTATGTTGAAAAGAAAATTTAAGTATTTATGCATTAGACCCATTTTGGCCCTTTTTGTTCTCACACTATCTAACATTGGATACCTACTTTTAAGTACTCAATTAAACTTCATAAAAAAAATTAATATTTCAATATTGGCATTTTGAAACAGTTTGCTTTGAAATGGTTTCCTTGTATTGATTGATGTTCTTATGCGGCTTACGCAAACTGCTGATAGCAACTCCATGAATGAGTTTTAAGAATTAAAACATTCTACATCTAGATTGGAAATTTTAGCCATGTATTTGAACTCTGAGAACATGCTGGTGCCAAATTATTGGTTTGAACTTGAGATCTAACCTTTACGTATAAATATGGAAATATTAAGGAGAGATTAACAGATATATCATTTTGAGATTGATATAATGGTGCTGATCTTCTTTTATTAACTATTTTATCTTCCTGTCACAATGATCTTCTTTAATCCGTCATTTTATGGATTTTTTCCTTTTATATCACATCTATCATTACGTGAGATGTTATACTTTGAATTTTTTATGGTGTTATTGCAGTGAAGTAAGTGGTGATAGAGAGGTTCAACGAACAATGTTGGAACTACTTAATCAGCTTGATGGGTTTAGTAACGATGATCGGATAAAGGTGATAATGCATACTTTCTGTCGTTTATAATGCATTGAAAAAACTGATATTTGTAAATAATAATGGATTTTTTGCATTTAAAAAAACTGCATTCCACATATGCTACAGTAAGCTTGATTTGCCTTTTTTCTAATAATTGAATGTGCAGCCATTGAGCCATGCTCGTCTTTTCTTGTTGGTATCTCTATTGTAACTTCTTAAAATCATTCTGGCTTCACTTCTTGGGCTAAAATGATTGATTTACCCTTGGTAAGCTATTTAGTTTGTGCAGCTGCTATAGATAGTGTTCAGGTTGTAGTTCACTTTTTTGAAACTTACATTTAGGGAAATGTGCAGTGGAACTATTAAGGTGCACTGCACAAGAACAATGAATTCTTATTTATTCTCATTGAAGAAGCAAAGATCTATGCTCTGTTTATTTCTTTTGTTTTGCTTTATTCTATTTTATATGTTATTTTTGAACATAAGAATATGGTAGTGATGTCTCTGAGAGAGCAATACTTTTTTATTTTTTCCCTTCTGATTAGTTTATATGTTTTGGCATTGTTTCAATTTTTATTCAATCTGGATTTGGTTTTCTCAGTGGTTCTATTCTAATTCAGAGTCATAAGGGATTTCTGGGTTTTCATTGTAGCAATCTTGATGAATTTTGAAGTGTTGGCGCCATTTTTCTTTATGTGGTGGTGAAACTTTGGCATTATATGGTAGCCGGCTCTCATTTTATCGGTGGACATTGTTGACCTCATTTTTAGTGAGGTCTTAGTTTTCTACACCTAGAACCTAAAATCTAGCTTTAAGAGTCCCTTGTTGACCATCCTAGTGGACTAGTAATGGAGCCCACTTTTCATAGAGCTTCGAATCACTTCTTGACTCATTTTTGTGAAGAACTCGCATGAGTGGTTCCAAACACTCAACTTCTAGTTGTAAGGGCTAAGGACCAACATGTAGAGGGCCTGAAAATGAGTTCCTATAGGATCAAACGGCTTTAGGTGAACCCTTTGTGACTTGAATACTTGCGAACGCCGCAATTCACGCACTCGCTGCACCACACACGACTTTGGCTTGAATTGACTTGCCCACCGACGAATTTGGCCGGACGATCTCAGATGACGAAACGGACCGCATCGACGTGTCCGGAACGACAACTTAAGCCACGAAGGACACCCATATTGCTAGGGTTACGCGCATGCACAAATAGCATGGAAATTGATGCACATTTTTTTTTTTATAGCGGGCGTAGGCTCGGGCTCAACCTAGGTTCATTTTGAGTTTGACTTAGGCTCGATATGGGCTAAGCCCGGGCTAATTATTTCAGCTTACAAATTACAAATTACAAATTTCAAAATTCAAATATATCATTAATCCCATAATAATCATATATAATGAGGAATTAATTCTTTTCCAATTAAGTCACCTCTGCACAAGGAAACTATTCAATTCCTCGCCAAAGCTTTCAAGTAAGGGCTCGCACATATTCGACTATACTAATTGGCCTCGACAGAAGAAAGAAGGATTCATTCGATCATCCTCCGCTCTGCTCACTCCCGCTCACGTTTTTTTTTTCTCTCGTGCGATTAGCTCCTTCGTCCTCCTGCTCTCCGCTCAAACACGCTTCCCTCTTTCTCGCGCAGAAGAAACTGACGACTGATTCGCTTCTCTCTTCTACTCGTGCTTGTCTCTCCTCCCTCCACATCGAAGCACGCCTGCTCGATCCCGTCTTGTGGCGAATCTATCTCTTAAACTTAGCCAAACATAATTCTCTTCTATAGCTGAATTTAAATGTAGCCAAAAGCTAGGACCTTTGTCATCATCTTCTTCACTATCATCTCTGTGAAGCTTTGATGCAATTTCGATGAAGAGAATTATGAATCTGTTTAGTCAAAGCTGAAGTCCTATTTAAATTTGAATAGCTAAACAGGATTAGCATTTAAATTCTATTTAAATTTAGATAGAATTCTGTTTAGCTTTGGTAGTGTGAAGTTTTAAATTTAAATACATTTAACTTTCAACCTGTATTTAGATACAACTTAAATTCTGTTTATATTCAAACCCTAGATACAAGTTAAATGCTAAGTTAAATGTATTCAACCTTAACCTTGTATCAAAGCTACATGTATTTAAATTTAAACCTGCATCAAAGCTAAGGCTATGTTTAAACTTTTGAATATAAATTTTATCAACCAGTGTTGAGATGGACATGACTTAATGATTGATTTAACACCTCCCTGGCTCAGTTTTATGCTTTACATCTTTCTTTGGTGGACATTTACATACCTAGCACACTAACATTATGTATTTACATATCTAACACTTAAAATTTAATGTTTACATACAATGCACTTTGGTATTTTAAACCTATGCATGAAAAGGTGCATTTCACTCTTTAAAAATTAAGTTGATAGTTTTTTTTTCTTATGCGATAGGGATGAATTAGTTCGTGTAAATGTATAAAGTAAAGTTTTAGATGTCGGAAATGTTTATACATAAAAATTGTGGGTTATGCATGCAAATCTTCATTTTATTTTTCTTGGTCAGTGGATCGATATTATTGCTGTGTTGAAAAAGGATTTGGATGTCGTTCTAGCTTGTCGTTTTTTTTACTGTTCTTTGATAAAGTCGAAAAGTTGGAGTTCTTTATTTAATTATTTAGAAGACACTTAGAAATTTGAGGATTAGTTGGAAAAACACTTAATTGGGGGCATACACTGTAAATCACTTTAAGCACAATTTAAAGTGTAGACTTCTTAGATTTTAGGAGCACACCCTAGGTGAGAGTCCATCCACTTAGTTCTCAGCACAAACTTTCTAGATTTTAGGAGCACACCATATGTGAGAGTCCATCCACCTAATTCTCAATATAGACTTCCTAGATTTTAGGAGCACACTCTAGGTAAAAGTCCATCCACCTAATTCTCAGCATAGACTTCCTAGATTTTAGGAGTACACCCTAGGTGAGAGTTCATCCACCTATTTTTCAGTGTAGACTTCTTAGATTTTAAGAGCACACCCTAGGTGAGCGTTCATCCACCTAATTTTCAAATAAACAATGAAGCTTGGCACTTGACCTTGATTCACAAATTGATTAAGCCATTAGACTTAAGGATGCACTGATTCACAAACTGATTAAGACGCTAGACATAAGGATGCACCGAGGCGTAGTTCATGCTTCCTTAATTAAATTAACAGTGAAATTTTCGCAATGACTTAACCTATAGTTAAACTCAGTGCACCGGGATTTGAGCTTGGATATTATACTCAAAATCCTCCTGACAATTGAGGAAATTTGTTAATGCACATATGGATCATCGGACTAGGATAATTCTAGGGTCTAAGTAGTGATGACGATGACGACATTGCTTATGCGTGCTTACTTATGATTGCTTATGCGTGCTTAAACGAGGGATACGAAGTGAGATTATTAGAATAATATCTCATACCTCAAGGATCTTTAATAAGGGAGAAGAAAGAATCCATGATACTATTCGCCGATCGTGGTGGGATCGTTGCCCCCGACACTCTTAGGTTGTCAGTAGTTCTAGCACGATTAGAGTGACTAGCCTGTGGACTATACGACTGTACAAAATATTTACAAAAATAAAAATAAAAATTTTTTATTTGTGACCGACAAGTTTTCCTATTTAATACAAAGATTAAATACAGTTTATTTTATCTGGGTTCCAAGTTCTCTATAAAGACAAACCCCTATAGTTAATTACATCCCAAATGACGGGAGTCACTTGAGAAAACTCTCGATAATGAATAGTGGTACTAGTCTACAATTATTCAAAGTTTAGTTTTTCACGGTAGGACTTGAGAAAACAAATGAGAGTGACTCAAGTAGGAACAATTCTTTCATGAGTCCAAAGAAAGTAAAAGGTAGGTGACGTGACAGATCCTGAGAAGAAACTTCAGTGACTTCCCAAACTGTCCTAATGTGTGGCTGTGCTTTAGAGAGAATGTTATTTGAGTGTTCAATTCTGTCAATTTTATTATTTGAGACTTACACTTACATAACTGATTACACAAATAATCTGCAGAGATAAGAGATTTTAATTTGTTCTAGAAGACAACCTCAAAACCTAAGGCGAGTTAGAACTTATATTTAGCTCAGTATGACTGTGCAGGAGCCTAAAAGAGGGTAAAGATTTATATCGCGCTGGGCGAGCTACCTTGAAATCCTATATGTTGTTTAGACTAGAAAAGTTTAGCTAGTGTAGATTTATTTTGCTGTTGTAGTATGCCGACCACCTCCACTTGTAGACCGCTCTAAGCTCTTTGTCGCGGTGCCCACGAAGTTGCTTCAAGCTCCTCGTCGAAATAACAATTCTAAAATCTAAGGTTCAAAATGTTGTATCATGTGTGTTTCAAGGTTTTGGTTTTGTTGTCATTATGGGAATGTTAAAGTTGATTAGAGCGAGACACCGGTTAGTATTCTACGGTTCCCTCGTTCCAATATCACTATTTTCTTTTGTATTTAATTAGTTTAAATGAGTTGTAGAACTCATTTAAATTGGAGAGATCTCGTTAGCAACCGTCAGTTACCTCCTTTGAAGGGCTTCCATAAATTCAAAAGTACGTGTTATGTTTTTGTTTTTGTTGTTTTTTTGTTTTGAAAATGTTGTTTAATTTTTTGAAAAATTGTTTTGTTTTGAAAATAAAATTGCAATCAGTGTCTATATAATGTGTTAGAGCAATAGTAAATTGCAATGGTAAAACAACAAATAAAATGTGCTTGTGTATGTGGCGTATCTGCTGCTGTTATCTCTGTTGCATGTTTAGCTCACAAAATATAATATAATTTACAAGGAATTTAAATAAATTACAGAGAAAAGAAGACAAAGTAAGCAGCATAACAAGTCGTAACAACAACTAGGAACTCCAAAAAGGTGATCCTAAGGTTTCCTAAACTCCGGACTGCAACTAGTGAGTTAGTACAGTGATCCTACGACCTCATATGGCTCTGAGCAACAACTAGCAAGTGTGCACGATGATCCCACGACTTTGGACAGCAGCTAGGAACCTCGAATAACACCTGTATGGCTTCCTACGAACCCAAACAGCGATGGACAACACTTGTGACACATCCTACGAATCCAAACAGTGGTGGGCAGCTTCTATGTGGCCTCCGACAAACCAAAACAACGGTGGACAGCACCTATGTGACCTCCTACGAACCCAAACAGTAGCTATAAAGGATAAACATTGCTTACAAAGCTTCCTATCACTCCAAACAGCAACTATAAAGGCCAAAAAATGTGTACAAAGCCTCCTATCACTCCCAACAGAAGCTATAAATGTCAAACAGTGCTTACGAGTCTCCTATCACTCCCAACAGCAGTTATAAAGGCCAAATAGTGCTTACAAAGCTTCCTATCACTATAAACAACAGTTATGAAGGACAAACAATGCTTACGAAGCTTTCTATCACTCCAAACAGCCGCTATGAAAGACAAAAAATGCTTACGAAGCTTCCTATCACTCCAAACAGCAAAAGAAATCCCCCGAAACAGCCCTAAAAAGCAATTTAAACGTCCCCAAAACCCTTCTCTAAAACGGCAAATACAATGCTCAAAACAGTCCTAAAACATTCCTGCAAACCAATGAAATTTCAGCTTCAGAATCTGTCGATCCAGAAACAGTGGCTGTTAAAACAAGCCAAGCCAAGCATCAACTGTAACTGAGATAGGAGTTAAAATGGTGCTCAAACTGCTGCCAATTTGGACAACCTACATCATGCTCTGCACCATACATTCTCAAATGACCACCCTCTCAGTAGAGCAAGCCACCTACATGAATCGCAGAATTAGCTCCTGAATCAAATAATTGAGGTGTGCACCAAACTGTGATGGCACACACCTTTGCTCCAAAGCCAAGACTATGACATTTTTAATGGACTTTAACGCCTTAAAAAAAATCATAGGAGGAAGCCATATTTGTTCATCAATGTAAAGATACACAAGTAAATGTATTAGTGGTAGTAAGAATATGAAATCAGATGGACAGGAAGAGGCGATGCAACTCAAACAACGAAAAGCAAGGAATGAGGGCCCTATCCATCACACCTATGTCAGCATCTATAGTCATGAATGAATTCCTTGTTACAGCATTTGATTATGTTACAAATAATTTGCATTTGAAAGCTAGGAAAATTGAATTAGGACACATCACATTCACATATCTAAGAAACTGGAAATTAGAAATAACTAAATCCAAACAGGTGAGGCAAATTCAACATGATTGTTTCATCCAAAATCACAGGTTTGCATACATCTCACAAGCAAGATCAAATCCAAATATCAATAAGCCAAAATAGTTGGAGATCGAAAACAGTATAGGAATGGAAGTAGATGCGGAGTGAGTGCCAACTATGGCCTTAGATCTAGGATGAAAATCTACCTGCTATAAACTGCAAAAGGTAAATGCAAAAAAAAAAAAATGCTTACTGACCAATGGTATATGATATGGAGAGAGGATTGAGGAAGGAGATGGCTCTGCTTTCAGCCAAGAGAGCTGGGGTTGGCGAATGGGAGAATCAGGTGAGAGAGGCACCAGGTCTTCAAGCTTCGAGCGTGGAGTTGAGGGCCGCTCGCTTTTGGGCGAGCGTGAGAGGAGCTTTGGTTGTGAGCGGGAGGCGAGTGGGAGCTTCGGCTAGAGGTGCGATTAAATCGCAGCGGAGTGGGCGAGCAGTAGAGTTGAAGGTTCTTCCTGTAGAGCGGGTTTGAACAGAGGAGTCTCGGGAGAGGGAGGAAACGAGCGGGAGATGATCGGCTGAATCCGAGAAGAGAGAAATGAGGTGAGCCTTCCTTTTAGAATATGAGCGGGGCGAATTAATCAGGAGCCGTTACGTGAAGCTTTGGCGGGGAAATAAATGTTTTCGATACGCAGGGGAGGTTCAATTGGAAAAAAAATTAACACTTGATTATATTCAATTAAGACAAATTTAAATCATTTGTTTGAATTTTAAAATTTGAAATTCGAATTTAGGTGAGTTGGTGCCTAGCTTATTTTCAGCCCGATTCCAACCTGAATCGAACCCAAATTGAACCCGAGTCGAACCTGGGTTGAGCCCGGGCTCGCACACCGTTATTTAAAAAAATTGTGCATCGATATCCGTATTAGTCGCTCGCGTACGAAACCATAACAATATAGGTGTCCTTCCTAACTAAATTCGACGTCCCGGACGCATCCATGTGGTATGTTTCGTCGTCCGGATGAGCTTGCCGATGGGCGAGTCAATTCAATTCAAAATCGTGTGGGTGTGTTGCGTGCGCAAAATGCGGCGTTATCAAACATTCGAGTTGCAAGAGGTTCACTAGGGGCTGCTCCTATTAATGTAGGAACTCGATTCGAGTTTCATGTGTCGATCCTAATCAACTCAACGGAATGTCGAGAATTTGGGACCGCCCATGAGAAACTCGAAGGAATGCCGAGGATTCGGGACCGCTCATGCGAGACTCGAAGGAGTGACGAGGTGACTCGAATTTTCTAAATGGTGTGGGTCTGGTACTAGTCCTCTAAGAGGGTCAAACAAAGAGAACCTAAGGCTAGACCCTAGGCTCTAAGGAGAGAAGTAAAGAAACTCACCCAAAAATGAGGTCAGCACTAACTAAAATCTCTTTGATAATATTAGATAGATAAAGAGAGGCTGGGAAGGGAATCTGCTAGTACATCTGCTGAAGTGAAAAAATTTCTAAATGAAAATAATTTTCTGTCATATGGTGATTGTTTTCTCGATGAAAATTTTCACTAAAATAAGGAACTAAAATTATTACTAAATAGATGAACAACTTTGGAGAACTACAATTACATTTTACGATCATTGAAGATTCTAAATTCACGTTCTCTATTTTATATATGATCTGAGAATTGATACGAAGAAAGAGATAACACATGTCCCTATTTCATCCATTGAGCATACGTTTCCAACTTGCATTAGATTTTAAGGATATGTTAAGTTTCTTGTATTTAAGGGAGTTATATATATTCAAGGAGTACATTGTCAAAGAAATCAGTTAAATATATTGCTATGGGTAATATCACTTCAAGTAATAAGGAGATTTGAGGGAGTTCAAATGCATTTCCATTTTGGGTTGAAGTTTTTACAAATAAATATTGTAAATGTAATCAAATGGTTCAGTATGCTAAAGAGTATTCTTGTAGGAAATTGCATGTAGATATTGAGAGAAATTATTGATTATGATGATGTTCATTAGTTTAATTAAGGGATTATTGGTTTTGGAAGATATTTTTGTTTATAATTCTTTGAATATAATGCATTGCATCGTAGCTACTCTTGAAGGTTAAATTTTACTGGAAGAGGATTGCAAATTTTCACATATAATATGAGAAGCTATGAAACGCATGATAGATTTTGGAAGTTGTGTGAATGTGTCCAACTCCTTCTTGGATTGTTCAAATTTACAATTTGACTACATCTACATCATTTAAGCTAACTTCGATGGATAAAACCTTTGTTTTTGTCTTTGTGGTCTAGTTCTGATTCAATTGACTACTTGTATTAAATATAATTTGGTGTGATATCTGCTTATGTTGCTTAGAAAACCCTATAAATTGGACATTTCAGTACATTCTGATAAAAACCTATAATTATTTTAAAAGATTCTTTTCTCATTTTGCATTTTATACCTCTACCACATTCTTCTTTACAATTTAGAGGTTATTCTAGATGGTAAAATTGCATCTATCGTTGCATCCACCGTTGATATTGAAGTCACTAAATTCCAAAGATTTTTAATTAATTGGATAGACAGACCTACTTTTGATTATTCATGGATTATTTTGCAGCAAATATAGAATTGATGTCTTGATAATATAAATGTCAAAATTTTTATAAAATTTTCATTGCTTCAAATAATGATTTGTGTATTAGCTCACAATTAATTTCTTTGATTCGTTTGTCCTTTTACCTCGTTCTTCCTTTATCTCATATATTCATACAACTTATTCTTGAGGCTATTCTAGATGATGAAATTGCGGTCATTATTAATGGCGGATTTCAATGATATCGTGTTAATTAGGATGATAGACTACTTTTGATGTTCATAGATGGTTTTGCTGAAAGAACAAAATTGATAGTTTGATGAATATGAAATGCTAAGGGCTTGTTTGGAATCATTTCTGTTTTTGTTTTTATTTTTTCTTTTGTTAAAAAAAAATGCTTGTTCAATATTCATCAAAACGACATTGTTTAAAAATACTCAAAACAATATTTAGTTGTTTTGAGTATTTTTACAAACAATCATCACCACCAATTGTATTTTATTTCAAATCACAACGCAAACAAATTATGATTTAAACAAATTAATAAATGTTTCTCCTTCCATCTCTTGTTTTCTTCTATCCACATCAAAATTGCATCTACTGCTAATGATGTTTCACTTTTAAAAACTTAATAATGATGGTATTTTTTATGAGATGTTAAACAATTGAGTGGTATGCATGCAAATATGAATATTGCGGTGTTAAATATGTAAATACAAAAGAATTGTGTGGTATATATGTAAATGCCCGTTTCTTTTGTTGTTGTAAGAATGTGCTGGTGGTGGTGATGATGATGGTGGTGATGATGATGATGAGAGAGAGAGAGAGAGAGATTCTCATTTCCTAGCCTTCACTTTCAGCGTTGGACATATTTACATTTTTTGCTCATCATGAATTGTGGTTTCTGTTATGTCAATGACATTCATGCATTTACAGGTCATAGCAGCAACTAACCGTGCTGATATTCTTGACCCTGCTTTGGTGCGATCTGGCCGTCTGGATCGCAAAATTGAGTTTCCCCATCCCTCCGAGGAAGCAAGAGCTAGAATTTTACAGGTACAGTACTGTTTTCTCAAATTTTCATTATTTACATATTTACCGTACATTTTTTATGGATTTACATATCAGACACCTAAAGTTTGATATTTTCATTTACAGCACCTTGGTGCTAAACCTTGTTTAAAAAGGTGTATTTACTTTTAAACAAGTTAGTGAAGTGTTATTTTCAATGTGTGCTGTTAGAGATGTTAGTGTTACTAATGTAAATATTAAAGTTTAGGAAATACGGCTTTCTGATTAAGAAATTAATTATATCAGGCTTTGCAAACTATTCTAACATTAAATTCTATTTTCAACCATTAAAATTTAGATCCACTCGAGGAAAATGAATGTGCATCCTGATGTCAACTTTGAAGAGCTTGCTCGATCTACAGATGATTTCAATGGCGCTCAGCTAAAGGCAGTTTGTGTGGAGGCTGGCATGCTTGCTCTCCGTAGAGATGCGACTGAGGTTCCTTTCCCAAACTTAGTTAAATTTCTTTTATATGTTGATTGCATTTAGTTATTTTTTATTTAATTTTCCTTTCTTCTAAGTTGTTTGGCTTTTGGATGATGACGAACTTGCACCTTTTTTGGGGGGTGGTATGAAAATATTTGCTATATTTGGGCACCGGGGTCATAGCAATTTCCCATATTACATAGACTAGGGGATTGTATGGTACCAGATTTAGATTTAAGCTGGATATATAACTTACCAGACAGAAAAAATGACAACTATGAAATTATGGATTCAGTAAATCATGTATTTTTATCAATTTCTTCACAGTTTTGCCTTGAATCCCGGATTTATTAGATACTGTTGATGTTAGGATTTAATAAATTTGGATTAACAAAAAGTATTAAAGCCATATTATCATGCAGCTAGGAAGAAAGGGAGCACGATGGAGATATTCATTCATTCATTTTCCCTCTTTCATCTATTATTAAAATCTATCTAATATTTTCTCCCACAGCCAAGTAGTCGGTTCTGTTTTATGTATAATTACAAGGTGTTTTTTCATAGTAGAATTCTCTTACATATCTAAAACCCAATATTTGATATTTATATATATGACACTTTAGTGCCTCATCAAAATTTATGCATGAAATTATGTATTGTCAAATCTTCCCCGTAGTCAAATCTGAGAAGGTGGTCCTAAAACCTGAAAATAAAATTTAATCATCTGTATAGAATATTTATTTTCTAGAATTCATTTTCTAGCTGATTGGTACTTAATCCAGGCTAGAATGTTTTTTTTAATCCATAAGAGGAACCTAAAAATATGTTTCTAAATGCCTATATATTTCAACAGGTGGTCCATGAAGATTTCAATGAGGGCATAATTCAAGTGCAAGCCAAGAAGAAAGCCAGCTTGAACTACTATGCTTGAAAGTAGACTCAATGTTTTATTATTCCACTTTCGTAAGCTCTTTGGTCTCTTTAACACTATTAATTTAGTATTTTGCAATAAACTAAATTTATGAAATCTGGAAAGAAAATTTCTACGCTTTGGTTTATTGTATTGCCTGAAAGTAGAAAAGAGCTTATTTTTTGTTATGATGTAAAACAATAGAATGCTATATCTGCTAACAATGCTCGCTTCATTATATATTTTCATGCAAATTAACATGCAAAAATACCATAATACTTTGATAAGTGCTCTAAAAATTTCTTATGTACTAATGTTGTATATTAGTAAAAAGATTTTAGTGGAGCAAGCTTAAGAGCTAGTACTGAAGCTCTCTTGAAATTGAGCTTTTTCTGTGCAGGACAATTTTTACTGTTTTATTTTTCAATTTGTCATCAAAGATTTTGTTTGGTTATTATTCTGTTACTTTTTTAGAATAATTTTATGATACTATATTTTGCATTTGGATTCGTTAAAATGTATAATTGTAAGAAAATCATTTGATTTTTTTTAAATAAATTATAATTTTCATGACTGTTCATCAAAAAGTTAATTTCGCATTAGCAATTTACAACCTTTATAAAAAAATTTTAGCTTCCATCAATGGGCCGTTTGTTTTAATTTTTTGCTTGATTTTAAAATTGAAATTAAATTTAAATTTGAATTAATCTTTTGGAGGTCGGGATGGTTAAAAATGCGATTAATATAAGTATTAACATTTTCCATAAAATAAAAAATAATTTTGATTAAGAATGTAAGCTAATCAGAAAATGAAGCCTACTTTTACTTTTTTATTATAAGTCACACTATTTTAATCACTAAATTTTAACTAGCACTTGTTTATAATATTAAATATATATTTATAAAAATTATAAATTATTTTACTACTATTTATCTTTACATCACTATTTTTGATGATCACCAAATATTGTCATAATAAGTTTATTACTATTATTAAAAAGCGTCTTATTATTCCCAAAAAATATATAATTTTTTTTAAAAAATTTAAAATTATAAATAAATACAATACTACAGTACTGAAATAAAATTATTTTTATTACAACACTGCCATTTTCAATACATGCTTTATAGGCATACCCAAACTGAAATATAACACAGTTGAGGGGAAAAAAAAAAAGGATGCAGAAATTCATAAAGTTTGATTTGTTCTAAGTAATGAAGAATGGAGGGAGATTTTAAAATAGAAGCGTGATTATAATTATAATTATTTGGGAAAAGAGTATATGATACAAACAGATAAATTGATAAATTCACAATGACAATAAGTTGTGGCGGTCATTTAACCATAAAAGAGGCTTTACAGCTACATCCACCAACTGCACTTGGATTTGTTGTTACCTGCATATCAAATTTCTATACCTAATTCAACCGCACAAGCACATAATTCTTTAATAGATAAAATATCAAATAAAAAAAAAGAAAGTTCTGCCGTTGCTAGATTGGATCGAGTCAGTAAAATAAACATGCAGTTTTCTTTCTTCTTTATTTAGCAAAGCAAGCCTTTGAACCTAACACTTCACATTTTTCACTCTATTTTCAATCAATATGTTAAAAGATATGCAGTTACAAATATACCCTGATGAATTACCGGTAGCCAAGTGCGGCCAAGTAAATCATTATGCATATCAACAGATAATACTACTAATTAATAACATGAGTGATCAAAGTGTAATTCATTATTGCTTCTCCTTTTTTCATTTAGTTCAAGATATCCATAGAAGGTAAGATTTATGCAACCAATTTTTACCCATTTACCATTCACAAATTATGATACTAAATAGGACGCAATGAAGAAAAAAGGATTATATGTAGCCGGCCCCACGTGAAGAAAAAAGGATTATAAGAAAAAAGGATTATATGTAGCCGGCCCCACGTAGTGGGATTAAGGCTTTGTTTTTGTCGTTGTTGTTGTACCATTCACAAATTAGTAAGAAAAATATCTACTAAAAAACATGAAAAACAATAGCATGATTAAATTTAATTGTCCACATTTCCTACACAAGTCTTAGACGAGCGACTCTCTTTCATTCATAAGTACCTTGCACTCTATTCATCCCTCTCGCCTCTCTATGCCATCTCGCTCGTTAGCGAGAAAGCTTTTGCACTCGACATGTACAGCACATGACGTCTGCTACAACCCCATCCTATCATGCCCTATGCCTCTTTCTCGTCATTTGGGTCTCACTCCCGCTTTTGCACTCTTGCCACCAAACACAAGTCCAGAATCTAAATGATAAAAAATGGGCTCACCTCATATTCGAGTTTGTAAACCTCACTTAACGAGCCTTCTTTAAGCTGCAAGGTTCAACAACATTATTAAGTAGTACATTACAATGCCTGTCAGCCCAACTTAATTATATCAGGCCAATATCAAGCCCGTAATCCCATCAAGCCAACATAATTACAGCTTGCACTCATAAAAGTTCTCAACCTAGAACTAAGTAAACCCTAATTCGTGAAATTTTGTTAAAATAAACTAGCTCACCTCAAGGAAGACTCATCTAGATTCATCTCTTTTACATATAGAGGAGGCTCAAAGGACATGCTTTCTTGAACAAATAGACTAAAGATTAGGTGCAAAAGTCAGAACTAACAGAACATATGAGTTCAAGAAGAAATCGATCGATTTATTTCAGTCAAGTTACAGGTCAGAAGCCCGGATAAAAACAATTTCAAGCTGAGGGGGCTGCATAATTGTGAATAAGCATATAACAAAACTGGTGGAATGCACATACTTGTACATTTGAAAGTTTTGATGGCATTATATAGTGTGAGTTCATGGTTGTTATACACTTCGAAACAAATGTAGGAGACAATTGGGTTTGTTACCAAAAAAACATTTCATATTGTAAGTTAGCATAATGCAAAGTATGAAGCGGGTATCTTGATTTAAAGCAACTTAAAACATATCATAATGTGTACATTTTACCCATTGGATGTTAACAAAAAGTGCGCTTCTTTAGCTATTCCTCTTTTGTACAAGAGATAAGAGATCCAGTTTAGGATCGCAAACTCTGACTTGTTTAAATGTAACTCCATTATTCCTATTTGCTTCCTTCTCCATATTTGAGAAATTGATTTCTCTTCTAGTGAGCCAAAAATCATGAATCTTGAGAACCGGAAATATCCAATCAAAGAACTGTAAAAATTATAAACCTAATACCCACTAAATTGAAAAAATAATTCAAAATTGTCGTAATTCGTGAAGAGTCTTGAAAGGAAATAGAAACTTCATCACCAAATAGATTTCAGGATGGAAATGCTTCATGATTATATCACCATTCAGCAAAAGAACTAACATGTTCCTCACAACAACAAATGAAGTTTAGGAAGCTCTTTAAAAACATAAAGAACGGTCAAGATGCTTCCCTTAATAGAAAGCTTTCATCGAAATACCAAACAAGGTAACATATCTTTCATAGAATGCTTTAGTGAATGAAGCTTTTTTTTGGAATTAAAATTACTAAGAAAATATCAAAATGAAATACACCGATGATGTTGTGATTTTAAAATAATATGTAGAAAGAAAAAAAAATTTGAGTTTTTTGGAAGCCTTAATTGGGAAAGTCATGTCATCCCTTAATAAAGCTTAATCCTTTGCACAAATTGAATAAAGGAAAAGGACAATCAAGTTGGAAACATCTAACTCAAAAAGGCTTTCACGGCAACCGCAAAAGAGAAAATGTAAGAGAAAAAACTAATTGCATTTAAACCTACAAAATCTGAAGAAAAAAATTTCAATTAGAAAAAAATAGTTACGGTGCAACTATTACAATAATAAGGGATATACCAAAGAGAATCGTTGGAAACTCCACGTAAAACCTTAAGGTCTTGGATAGGAAGAAAATCAATTGAAACTTGAAAGGAGAAGCTCAATTTGCAGACTCAAATCTAACTAAGGGAAAATTAATTAAAAGTTTATTCAAGTCTCTTGAAAAGTTAGTTGGGTGATGATCTAGAGCTAAGAATGGAAAAACTTCAATTTTTTGTGTTTACAGTCCCTGAAATGGATCATTTAACATATGGATAATAGACTCAGAAAACAAGTATCACATAAGAAACTCTATCAACAGCTCTGTCAACTACCAACCCTAACCTAGAAATTTAAAAAAAAAATCAAAGTAACTGAGAACTTCTTAATTATTATTGTAAGCCAAGGGAACGTTATTTTTTCCATTTCATCACCCTTAAAATTATGCTACATGTTTCTAAACTTGATGTAAATTTTCATTAGGAAACTTATGAGATTTCTAAAAACCATAAGATATCATTTTCTTCAAGTGGATCACAATCATCTACTCATTTTTTTGTTAATCCACTTTGATATTTAAGGATCCTCAAATCATTAATACTTTTGGGCCTAACAGGTTTATAATATTTATTGATCATAGCAATCAAAATATACGTAGATATGTTATTAAATAAAAATCTAGCTCGAGTCATATGCTTCCAATCCTTTTTAACATGATCAAAATTCAGTTTGGGGCGAACATTAATAAAATCTAGATGGATAATGCAAGAGATTATTTTAATTAAAATCTGGCATTCTCGAATCTTTTTTTCCTAACTCCCCACAATAAAAAGAGATTCTTCCTAACTCCCCACAATAAAAAGGGGCGGCAAGAAAAAACATCTTTTTGAAATTACCAAGGCTCTTCTTTTTAAAAATCATGTTCCCAAGGGATGTTTGGGAAAAATAGTTGACGCATAAATGAAACATAAACAGAGTTCAAAAATGTTGAGCCATTAAGGCAATCATGCTGGCTTAAAATTCATTCAAGTAGCTTCCAAGGCCTACTTGAGTTCAGTTTGTCGAGCCAGGATAAAACCAACATTTTGATTTCAGGTTTAGGTTGAATTGTTAAAACAAAACATGATCTGTTATCACACATATTACAAGCTGACTTCTTTTGTTTGAAACTAAAACCTTCAAATGTCCTTCTTTTCAAGCACAGCAGTCAAATAAAGTTCAAACCTGTTAACCAAGCAAGGTGTGCTCGATGCTTCTATAGTTGGACCTTTAACAATCAAATGATGCAAGAAAAACATAGCCCTCTCTGATAGAAATGATTTTATGATGGATGGAAATAAGTCTAACCTGGAAAGCAGAGCGAATCAATTCATCAACATAATCAACAGTGGCACCCTTCACAAAATCATAAGATATGCTGTCAACCACCAACATAACGCCATCCTTCGCGAAAATTCTACAACCACAATCACAACAAATAAGAGGGGATTCCCTATGTATAGCAATACTTTTCGCTTTTACTTTCATACCGGTCATCTTCATTTTTCTTCTCGTCCAACAGAAAAGCATACTGAAAACCAGAACATCCGCCAGTTTCAACACTTAACCGAAGCATCTTTCCTTCAAAAGATTCTTCCTTGGCATTCAATTCTTTCAGTCTCTACAGAGCAGTTCTTTAAACGAATCAAAACTTCAATATATGAGAGATAAGAAAGTGGCACATTCAATAATTTACAGAAAAGGACTAGCAGAAAAGCAACCTTGTGCAAATTCTATCATGAAATAATTTCAGCGACAGCGCCATATTATGATTCCGAGTGTATTAACAAAAAAAAAAAATAATAATAAAAATTACAAATATGTAGCACCCAATTCTTATGTATTTACGTATCTCACACCAAAAATTTCATTTAATAGCCAAAGCACCAAATTATTTCCTATCACATCAAAAACAACACCAATATACATTATTTAATGCCGCAATCCAACTTTTCATACATAGAGAAGGTTGCTTTGCCTGTAAATATGAAAGTTTAGATGTGAGATACTTAAATGCATAAGAATTGGGTGCTACGGATATAAATTTCCGGAAAAAAATGTTTCTAATATGAAATTTCCACTGAAACTATCACATTAGTTAAACATCAAACATAGACTAATAAGAGAGTGAATCGGAGAAGTATTAAAGCATCAAAACATACACCAAGCTTGAAAATAACAAAATCGCTCAAATAAATCAGCTACCGAGGCGATTAAGAAGAAGGGAGGTAAGTTACCCTGACGCAGTTATCGGTCATGTAGACGGCGGCGTGAACATCGGGAGACAATTCCTCCGCGGCAGATGTCAGAATCCGCTGGTTCCGCTCGGCGTGAACACGGATCAAAGGCGTCAAGCGGCGGAGCAACGATCTCGACATCTTCAATCTTCTTCCCCTTGCCCTAATAAATCCGAGAACGCGCGAAGAAAAGAAACCTAGCGCGAACAGGAAGATCCCTAGCTTCTTCAATGGTTTCAGGTAGAAGCGAACCGGAAAGAGAGGAATGATGGGGAGTTTCAGTGATCTTTGTACTTGGCGATAACGTTGTTTAGGGTTCCAGGTAGCTCGGATCGCGACCGCATCACAAGGGAGAGAAAAGACCCAGACGAGAACTTGGGAAAGTGGAGGAAGGAGGATTAAGATAGGCTGGCGGTTTTAATTTAATTTTATTTATGGTACTTTTTTTCTATTAATTTTGATGATATTTTTTCAGATTAATTATAATTAAATTAATTTATATGTAATTGTTTAATAAATAAATAATAAAATTAAATTATATATTAAAATTTTATTTATTTGATTAAATTCTAAGGGCTTTCTTGGGATTACTTCCTTTTTTTTTTTACTCTATTTTATTTTTGTTTTATTTTATTTTTTAAAAAATATATGTTTGGCAGTAAATTTATATATTTTTAAAAATATAAAATATAAAACATATTTAATTAGACAATCTCTATTTATTTAAAAGAAATTTATACTTTATAAAATGATTAGATCAACGTACACTGTAGTATTAAATTTCATCGCGTCTTTCTTGTTACTTTTAGGCGGGCCAGCTGCAGACAATGAGGCCTGGTAGTGGTGTCGGGAGGTGAAAATTAAAGTACGATAGGAGACTTCTGTAATTTAAGCACGATAATATTGTTAAAAATATACTGAGTGCTCATATATAAGTACTATTTGTATGTCACATGTTAACTAATTTTTATGCCTAATTTGCTGAGGATTAATTAACACACGTCCTTGGGAGATATCCCATTAATTTTTATACATTTTTTTTTTATGTTTTGAGATCATATCTTATGTATTGAGAATATATCTTATTTTAATTTTGAAAAATTTGCATACATACCACTTAATTTCTATGGATTTACGAATTTAACCTCTAAATTATATTTATATATAGATCATTAAAAAAAAACTAGTAAATCATATTAATTCAAGCAAATCAATCGACAGACGCAAATCAAGAAGGCTCAAAAGTCAAGTTTCATGATCGAAATGACATTAGTATATAAAAGCGTATTAATAATGCTTTCTTATAAATAATATGAAATCATAATGCTATAACGAAAATATGTATTGCGCTTTCAAAAAGTATTCATAATATTATTTTGGATGTAATATTAAAGATGCATGATCCAAATATGACAGCTTGTGCGACCCGCGGCCTACGTTCAGTGTAAAAATGGAATCACGTTTTCGGATAAGCAGACAAAACACACGATCCAAATGGTACTACGACGTTTTCAAAAATAACCCCGCACTTATAGGCTGCCTCAAACGACCCGTAAATACATGAGAATTGTCTTGAGAATAAAGAACAAAATCATCCAACTGAAGCAAAACTGTGAAAATGAAAATTAGAGTATGTGGGAGATTCAGTTATTGCCAAACAAATCCAACTAAGAAACGTCTAAGAAAATCTTGCAAAACAATAAACTCGAGCAAATCAATTGATTGGAAAGACGCCAATAAAGAAGGCTCAGAATTGCCCACTTTTCATCATCCAAATGAATTATCAAAATGATTTGCACCAAAGCTGATGAAGAAGAAGAAGAAGAAGAAGAAGAAGAATTATCAAAATGAATACAGAATAAAGTGGCTAACAGTGTGAAACAAGAAGGAAATTGGTTGCCTGCATTTTGGCCTTCCAAAATCTCCTTGCCATATTTTCTTGGGCACATCATCATAGCCTCTTCAAATAAAAAAAAGGGCATTTACATACATATCACCCAATTCTCATGCATTAACATATCTAAAACCTACATTTTATATTTTATTTTATACCACTTAAATCTTTCATTATCACAACAACAATACCACCTTTTAACTTTTAAAAAGAGACATACACCTTTTCATGTATATGTAAGGTGGCATATATGTACTAATTGAAAATGGTGTTAGATGTGTAAAAATACATAGAAAATCCTACGGTAAGAAAACATGTACAACAGAGCATTATGGTGGAACTAGAAATTTAGATAAAAATGCACAGAGGATTCGCAGAAGAGGGTGGCACTAGAGAGAGAGCGAGACGAATGGTGATACAATAAATGTGTGTGTAATTGTATTTTCATTGAAGGGTTAAATTGTATTTTCACTGAAGATATTTGCCAAACTAAAAGAGGTTTGGCTGAACAAAGTGAATTCTCACCACAACAATTACTAAAAAGAAGCAAAAAAGTGATGGCCAAAGAAAACTTTAGTACTTTTTTCTCAAATGAAATATAAGTAAAATGAACCAAAGCTGTGAAAAAATTGCCTCATGTGAACCGTAAGAGAGACCAAATGTTGTGTAAGAATGGAACAAACCTTGACACTGAAAACATTTTTTCATTTTCTTTGATATCCATTTCAACATTATGGTTAAATGTTCTTTTAGATCATTATTACTTCTAAGGGTTAAAAAACTCATTCGCAGCTCTTGAAAACATGATGTTAAAATCGTTCACTACACAGTTTCTCATAATATAAATAAATACCTTGAACTCGATTTATAAATGAATATAATAAAGAGCTTATGCAATAGTGCTCAAGTTATTTTAACTCAAAATAATTAAATAATTAAAATATTATTAATTACTAGTTTAGTAGAATCTTTCCATTTTGATCATTTCGAGGGATCCCACACCAAAAGCCATTTTGCTTCCTTCAAAACACCAACTCAAATTCAATGCTATGACATGGATGTAAATGAAATATAAAATCTAACAAGAAGCAGAATTCATAAAAAGGAAAAAGGTGAGAAAGCCCACTCATGAGGAAGAAGAGGACATGAATTATCATTTCTATTTAGCATAAATCATATGTGTTAGGTTTGATCTATCATTAACCTGAATTCTATGTTTCATTACCCAATCTTGTCCCTCTAATATAATAATTTCTTAATTTTCAAGCTTAAAACAAAAAAGGTGTCACAATGAGTGCAATGAATAATACCTGCTGGGGAAAATGATGGGAATAATAAATCAACTTTGAATCAGCATGGAAGCATGGTTGAAGCTCCTTATCAAACCAGAGAAATAAAAAAATGTCTGCAAAACAGGTGAAGCTCATACATAAAAATAAAAAATATAAATAGAAAATTAAAAATAATCCATAAGGGATATGTTAGAAGAAAATTAGGTGCAGAAAACATAAATGTCAGGTATGGAAAATAGCTCCATCTAAATTATGACTGCTAGCAAATGACGTAAAGCAGCAGCAGGTGATTCACGCAATAAATCCAAGTCAGATAACAGCAAGAAAGAAAACCGTAATAGAGCAGCACAAAAATTATTAAAAAAAGTTATTTTTTAATGACCGGCTGATGTAAAATAAAATAACTTTTTTTACATCAGCTGCTCTATTTTGGTTGATTGTCCTAATCTTGCAAAATAACTTTTTTTTACATATGCTGTTTTTTATTCTATTTTTTTAATTAATAATTTTAATTGATTATAAAACTTTGTAAGCTTGCAAGACATATATATATAAATTATTTCAAGTCAAAATGAGCTTAACGCAAATGAACAAATTTTTGTCCGTGTTCGGCTTATTTATCTATCCACTGCGAAAAAAATTGTTCTTGTTCAGCTCAATTGCTTGGCAAACGAATCAAACATGAGCTTCTTAACGAGACGAACATAAACTATTCTTGAACAACGAGCCGCTCCAACCAAACAACCACTAAACTGCCATCATTTCGTACTAAAGGAACAAAACTACAGAGATTTTGACAAAAAAATAAAACAAACCCCCCTAAGAGTTTTGAATTATTAGGAGATGTTCATAGAAATTATACAGCATGAATTTTGAAGAGATCCACCAGTCCAAGAGACAATATCAAAAGGCGGACCAACCAACAGAAATCCAGAGGAACCCATACGCCCGACCAAATAAACGTGACTCAAAACCAACCATTATAATGAGTTGAGCATCTCGCCCAGTGCAAGACAAATGATCACCCGAACCTAACATTTCAACGCAATCAAACCCAAGGATCCAATCCTCCAGATTGCATGACTGTATTAGCGACGACCAACAACCATCCACAAGAATTTCTTCGTCTAAAGACAGGCTACCTGTCGGATTATGGTGATTCACCTTTTGCCTGACAACTTAAACTTAGATCTGGTGACCAGAGTTCTTCGGCGGAGATTGAGGGTCAAACGATCAGGTTGTACCAATTGATCGACATGATTTAGCCCATCAGATCAATCTTATCAACCCGACCCGCTGAAAACCATCCTATCAATAGCATCTAAAGATCTAGCCTACCAGAAACACAAACCAAGTCATTAACTCCTTAGCTAGACATCGGCCAAGACTTCAAGAGCATAGCCGACCGAAAACATCCATAGGTTCAGTTGACCTACAAAGCTCTTCGAAGTCATGCCAAGCCCAATTAGCCGAGCCAGACCTTAAGTGCGAAGTACCAAGAATAACCTATACAATCCCTACTTAGAGGTTATTTTTGGTACTTCGCACCAAATATAACTTCACATATTGTACCAATTTTGTTTATAAATAGGAAATCAATTTATGAATAAAATGTTACAAAATTCCCTCATTGAACTGTTCATTATTGTGCACTCACTCTTTCATCTTTATCTTTCTCTCCCTCTCTCTTTCTACGTTCTATTCCATGGGTAAAATTCACAGGACAGATTCAGATTCAATATCCTAAAAAGTCTGATGAACATGGATCACGTCAGCAACAAGAAAATGAGTACAACAAGGAGAAGAAAACCCACTAAAGAGACACCGCAAACATGTCATGCACTAGGGAGTTTGGGCAAGAACAAATCAAAAAGTTAAAAAACTAGATGATGGGCCAGATGTTGGACGCCATGAAAGAAGCAATGAGAAAGGGGAGGGAGCAAAACCCCTAGAAGAAAGTGCAAGAAAACAACGATTGAAGGGTCACTCGAGCCCCCTGACAGAGTAGGAGACTCTCAGTACCAGAACAGTGCTGGGTCCATGTCACTAGACAAACAACAATTCAAAAGCACTGAGGGGCCTCGCCAACTGGAAAATGTGTTCATCTAAACTATTGTAGCTAGCAAATGAAGTAAAGAAGCAACAAGTGATACAAAACATAAATCCAAGTCAGGTAACCCAATGGAAAAGGAGCAAGAAAAAAAAACATTGTGCGGAATAATAATTAGAATTGAAGTGTTCTACACTATTTGCATAGCATGGTTAGAGCTGCAACTAAAAATGTTGGAGACATACATCAGCTAGTCATCAAAAACAACTCTATTATATTATAAAGACAATCAACCAAAATTGAGAAACACACAACTTATTAAAAAAAAGGAAACTAATAAGCAAGGCAAGGTAACATTACAAGCCAAATAAATATCTTGGCCTTCTCATGGATTTGAGATTATAAAAATGAGATAAGTAGCAGTTTCTTAAAAGTAGTATGTGTGACCCCCAAAACGGGATAGATCTGGTAAAATTCTACAAATTTTAAAATTACTCTAAATATCGCACCTCTCAAAATTGAATCAAAACAACTTCATAAAATTCTACACTTCAAATCGATCAATTTGATATATAAAATCCACATGATTATTGTTTCCATCCGCTTTTCACGCAATTTTTAGTGCGGGTTTCGATTGAATGACCTCTAATTTCTTTCTTGATTTCTCTCCTTGTCTCAGATTTGGCACGACAGAAAGACCTGCGATCAGTCATCGTAGCAAAGGGGTGAGTGTCACACAAAACAGTCGCACGAACTGGACAACTCACTGAGTGCCACTTGTAACATTTTAGGTTTCGTGAACAAAAAAATAAATGAATGAATCTCTCTTAATTGTTGTTTTAAACATTTGTTTCCTTTCTCTTGCTTCTGTTTTGATATTTATATCGATTTTGTATCTTTTTTTAATTTCTGATCATCGTAGTTGACGTCGAACTTGTATCAGAAGCGTCAAACTTAGTTTGCAAGCTTCGTAAGGATTTTAACATGAAATTAGTGAAGGTGAAAGGAAGATTGAGGTGTTAGAAAGAAAAGGGGAGAAGTTTAGGTGGATTGGAAAAAGATTAGGTTATGCCGAGAAGCGCATTTGAGGTATATTTTGACAAATGAGTCATGGTTTGGGTTAATGCATGTTATGAACTAATTTTCATGAAACTCCAAGTTGCCTAAGAATTTAAGTTGTTTACACGAGATGGTGAGCTCAAGACTAGAATGAGGAAACTAATCGTAGGATTGCTCCATTAAGTCTGGTGAAATAATATTATGTTAATTTTAAGAAAATAACCTTATGTAGGTTTTATATGAAAATGCATTTGACACTGTTATATTTAGATTTTTTGTATATTGTAGATGAATGTCTGCTTAGAATGTATGAATGTCAGTTGATTTCTTTTATGATACATGTAATACCACTGTCATGATACATATGACTTTATAAAATAGTTGTCTACAGATAATCATTTGTTATGACTCATACATATGATATATGAAATACCTAGGAATATTTATTACATGTATTATATTTTAAGAATTGTCACAAATAATATTATGGGTTGAATATTACAAGAGCACTTATAGGTATGTTATGCAGGAATATAATATTCCCGACTCCTAACTTTCAGACAAGGATGAGACTCTGAAAATCGTTATGATCAGACAGTGACAGAGCGTGGTGAATCGTTTGTATCAAGGAGCTATTGATAACTGCTTTGTTGGATAGAGTCAACCTTTATCAATAATTCACATGGACTTTGGAGTAAGGTAACGACCCATGATATGAAGAAGAAATATGAAAAGTTAGGTGTATACATATAAAATTCATATTACTATGAAATGACCTCTATGAACTGATATTAATATAATACATGAGATAAATAACTTTTGAAAATGTTTTAGTTATATTTATGATTTCATACTTAATGGCATACATTTATACTCAACAATCTTAGTTTCTATACTGCCGACTTTTCTTTTCATGTTATATGATTCTAACATATTGTGACTAGTGTGTAAACATATACAATTACATATGAGCATATACGTTTTTTTTCTCTATATATAAAATCTTATTTTAATCTTTTAATTATTTCTCTGAACTTGTCGTTACCCACTCTACATTTTTACCTTTTACTTAGTGTGTGGGTCATACAAATTTTGATCTGTATAATTTTAGGGAGCCAATATAAACTTTTTAGAAAATCTATCTAAATTATATTGAATTTAACAACGCTGTATAGATTATACGTTTTGGTGATATGATTTTCCATACTTTTGAATATGTACATGAATAAATTATGAAAGAGAATGTATCACACATGTTTGTGACAATTTAGTTAGACTAGTTCATCATCCACTGAGTCCTAATTCTACAAATCAAGACTAGTGTTGTTGAGAAGCTGTCACATCCCAATTGATGACTGATTTTTAAGGGTCAGCAAAGGTGCGATAGAGGCGAATAATTCGACCAAATTAAATCTTTACCAATACTCGTCCATACTTGCAGAATCAAGGCCTAGTGGGTAATGAACTAGTCTAACTAAATTATCATAACACATGTGATACATTGTATTTTATAATTCATTCATATTTATACTTGAAAGCATGAAAAATCATATCCTCAAAATATAAAAACTATACAGAACCCCTAAATCTAATAAATAAATAAAATAAGTACCCAAAAACTAGACAAGCTCTTAAAATAATACATATCAAAAGCCGTACAAATCACACCTGGCTACTCGCTTGGTGCTTGCCCTTTCATGAAAGACAACAAGTAAACTGAGCAACAACCAGCTCAGCGAAATAATCAAGATTAAAATATAGTTTTATACATAAAAAAATAACATGCATATTCATATGAAACTGTATATGTTTACACACAAGTCATAATATGCTAGAAGCGTATAGAACATAAACAAATAGATAGTGTAGAAAACAAGACTATGATATAAAGCATACATGTCAGTTCATCCATATATAGTCATAACAATGTTATTATAATAATATCATAGCATAATAAAATAATTTTGCTAATAATATCACTTGCAAATGGATAGTCATCAGTTATTTTCATATAACTGTCATCATAGATCATTACCCTGCTATAAAGATTATATTAACTGTTGATAAATGTTGCCAACATAACAGTTATCAACAGTCTCATGATACCAACTGTTCCTTACACTGTCACTGTTCGATCACAACATATTCTGAAGTTTCGTTGTTGTCTGAGTACTAGGAGTCGAAAATATCATATCCCTGCATAGCATAGTTGCAAGCACTCATGTAATAATCGATTCAAAACATTCATTGTGACATTTCTTAAAGCATAATCTTCGTAGTAAACATTCATAGGCATTTCATATATCACATATACGAATCATAACAAATAAATATAAGCAATCAATTTATATCATAAGCATAATCATATACATCATAGCATAACATCACATGTATCGTAAGAAAAATCAGTTTGCATTCATACATTTAGTGTAGATAGTCTTCCATAAAATGCAAAAAACTCTAAATACATGCGTGTCAAACGAGAAATAATATGAAAACCTACAAAATATTATTTTTCTTGAATTAACATAACATTATTTCACCTGGATTGACAGATCATCCCTACGATGAGTTTCTTTCTGCTCGTCTCGAACTCGCTGCCTCGAGTAAACAACCATAGAATTTATAAGCATTGTAAGAATTCATGAAATCCTAGCTCTTATCGTGATTTAACCAAAAACATACCTTTAATGCCATCATATAGCTCAAAGGGGTTTCTCGACATGAATTTGCCTTTTCGAAACCACAGATTTTCTCAACTCTTCGTAACACCTCAAATCTCTCTTCCCCTTTGCTAATTGTGTTAAAGCCCTTATGGAAGCTTGCAAACCAAGTTTAACACTTCCGACATAATTTCGGCGCTAGCTACAACGACCGGAAATGAAAACACATAAAATCGAGGCATACATCAAAGCAAAAGCGAGAGGAAGAAAATAAATATCTAGAATAGAGCAAAAGAGAGATTCATACATTTTGTTTTCGTTCCCAAAGGTTGAAATGTCGTATGCGGTATTCAGCGGGTCATCCAGTTCGTGCGGCTGCTCTGTGCTGCTCATCTCTTTGCTATAGTGAAGGATCACAAATCCTTTTGTTGAGCCAAAATCGAGGAGAGGAAATCGAGAAAGGAATCGAAGGTTCTGGAGGTCATTCTATAGAAACCAACACTAAAAATTGCGTGAAAGATAGTTGGAAACAATAATCATGTGAATTAGGAGAACATTAGAATTAATTAAGGTTTAATTAATTTAATTAAACTTATAACTTCATAATTTTATCTCCCAATCAGTTAAAAATCCATGCATAGTGTTAGACACATAATTGATTGATTTGGTGCATAAAAATTTATTACATTGTTTTGATTCAATTCTGAAGGGTGCGAAATCTAGGATACTTGTAAAATTTACAGAATTTTATCTGATTTATCCAATTTTGAGTGTTCTAATATGTAATAGCTTCACTTAAAGTAAATCTTGAATAAAAATGCTATACAATGCAAGCTAATAAAGTCAATTACATGAAAAAAAAACTAGTAAAAATTGTTTCCAGGTTCTAGCTAAGCAAACAAACAGAATGACTACAAATGAATGAGGCTCAGACTTGCACAGTTTTGTTCATCAAATTCATTCAAGAATTAATGTAGCCTTTAACTTTGATTGACGTTGTTGTAATCTGGTTTGATCTCCCAATACAAATATCTGGAATAAGATTAATAGTGATGATGATGATGATTACTAAATAAATTAAAAAATAAACAAATGAAATGGTAGTATGAATCATGCAACCAATAAAGAATTGACAGGGACCTCCATTAAAGAAGGGTTAGGAGATTGAAGGGTTAAACATGCAAGTGTTGTAATTAAAGAATTTACAGGTCTTCCATTAAAGGAGGGGGCAAGGACTGTGAAGCGTGTAGAAAATCGACTGTAATAGCCACACAGGTTTCTGACATCATGACCTAAGCATCTGTCAAAACTGAAAATTAAAACCCTGAAAAACAACTAAACATGTGCACCATTCTAAACAGCCTAAAATTCTAAATGTATAGCAACAATAGTTGCTTGCAGAGGCCCTAAAATGTCGTCCTTTCTTGTGGAAAAGGACAAATTATACAGACATATTCCAAGCTTTTCCCACAAAGTTGCCATTTTTGTGTTTGGCAGGATTTAAGCATATCCCCAAGGTAAAAAACAAGGATGATATAGCAAACGAAAGGAAACAGTTCCAAGCTAGCTACTAAAGGAGTTATGCCAGTGAGCGCAAGATGTAATAACCATGGTAATAATTGGAGAATTCAAAATCTATCCTCAAAAGGAAGAAGAACAGACTCCATTACCTCCTTCAAAATCCTAACTTCAAAATAAAAGTAATAAAGCATAAGATAGTTAATCTTAAGTGAGCAAGACCTTGTATGTTGCAAAAAATGCAGTAAATGATCCATCCATCATAATTGAAACACGAGAAAGAATAATTATCAGGCTAATTGGCCAGGTGAGTCACACAACTTCAATGAAATCAACAACAAAGCGTCTGATTAAACCCGATAAATCAAAACCCAAAAAGCTAAAAAACTAAAAACAACCCTTAACTTGAAAAAAACAAGAAATAAAGAAATTGCAATAGGCTCAGATTCCCCTTGATCCAACACTAGAAAGAGCCTCAAATTTTTAAATATGAGCAAAATATTTAGCACAGCAAAGTTAATGGTTCGGATCCAAAAATTAAATACCATAGGCACTAAATCTACTTGCAACCGAACAGGTAATAATCCAAACATAGTAATAGGAGTCATGTCAAACAGTCTAAAATTTAGCAACACTAGGATTTACCAAGTCTTGCATGAATTAAATCCGCAAAGTTGCCAAACAAGCCCTAAGAAAGGCATTTACAGAGGCTGAGATTCCACTTGATTCGTCATTAGAAAGGGCCTCCGATTCTTGTATACAAGCTAGTAGATGAATTGGGAGCCAAAGGAGCTCTTCAAACATAAGTAAATAGGATTGTAAGCGGGTATGCAAGCGGGTGCTAGTTTTACAAATAGGTATGTAATTGCCTCCATAAACATGAAAAAGGGGATGCAAGCGGGTGCTTGTTTTACAAATAGCAATGTTTTGAGTGCTATGTATGTAATAGACCCAAAATGAAAAACAAAGTAAAATCCACATAGGTTTAAAGGACCAAAGTGTTATGTATGTAAATATGACTGTTTAGGTGAGAGATGTAAAATACATAAGAATTGTGCCCTCTGTAATAAAATTTCCCAAAAACAAAATGCAAGCGCATGGTAGCGGTTGCATGTGGCGGATACCAGCAGCATGCCATCCGAGCTTCTTAATCACCATAGGATCAAATCTACTGGCAACCAAACAGCCACTAGAATGCCATCATCTTTCACCAAATGAACGAAATACAGATAGTTTTATACAGAAAAGACAAATTCGCCCAGTTCTTCAAGATTTTGCAACCGTGCCCCTAGGTTTTCCAATAACCAGGGGTTTTTGGCAATAATGTAGTAATATATATTCATAAATAACAAAGGGGTGTAGATAGCCTTGCATGAAAAATACCGAACATTTAGGAATAGATCATCAGGTTCTATCTCAGTTTAGCCCCTTGCCTCCAATTTCAATAAATCACGGCAATACTAAAAAAACACGTAACAAAAAACTTTGAAAGATTTAGGTACCAAAAGCATGCTTAGGTATTTACATATCTAACACCTAAAGTTTGATTTTTACACCTATTTAACAAGTTAATAATAATGGTATATTTGATATGACATTAATATGTGAGCATTACAAACGTAAAATTTAAAATTTGGGTGTTACATATGTAAACCCATAAGAATCGTGTGGTATGTACGTAAATGCCCCAAAAAACTTATGATGTAAGGCCTTTCCAGTATCTTTAGAAGGAGCAACATAGAAATATGTTTGAGATTGAAGAATAAATAAGCCACAGTTGCAGCAAAACTATGAAAAACAAAGGGGGCATTCGCATACATATCACCCAGTTCCTATATATGTACATATATAAAACCTATATTTTACTTTTTACAATCACACTACCCAAATCTTTTACATCACATCAAAAACACTATTATTTTAACTTTTAAAAAGTGAACCACACACTTGTCGGTCAACTTTTTTTTCGATTGATTAGATTT